TGAAAGGGACACATCGAGTGGCTGGCACCCACATGACCAACCAGGGCCGGGGACAAACTGCAACCGAGGTATGCACCCCTAGTGGAAACCGAACCCAGGTCTCTCTGGATCGCAGGCCAAAGCTCCAACCGCTGAGCCAAACCGGCCAGGGCGGCTACTGGCTTCTTGATCTACAAGTCTGGCCTAACCCTCCAGTCTGGCCCTCCAGCAGCCCTGAGAAGCATCTGGGACAGCTGGGCTCCGTGGTCCAGAGGAGTTGAAGTTCTTCCCAGATGACTTAGTGGGCCCCCTGCCCCCATTTCCCCTCAGTTCTCAGTTTCTCCAGCCACCCCCTCCCTGTGGCTCATTATTTCAAGAAAGAAAAACAGAGACTGGGAGAGCCCACATGGCTCTGGAAGGTTCTGGAAGGGGTCTGTCCTTGTGAGCATGTACTTTCTCATCCTGTCCATGAATATGTGCTGATGTGGGGGAAGGAACTCAGCCCTTAGGTTCAAGGCCAACGAGTTCAAAGGCCAATCTGCTGGGTGCTCCCCAGCAAGCAAAGAGTATCAGTGAAATGCAAACACACATCTGTACTTCCTGTAGTTTGTTGAGAACTTTCTGTATGGGAGCCTGGTCCCCCACTGTGGCTCTCCACCCCACTGTCCCAGGAGAGTCCTAGCATCTTGTTCAGCAAACATTTACTAGTTACCTACTCTGTGTCAAATCCCCTCCTGGGGACACAGCCATGAGCAAGCAGGTGCTCACAGGATGATGGTGGAGACAGACTCATACCAGCTGGAGAGAGAAGGCTTCTGACCCAGCTTTGAGGGGTATGATGTGAAGAAGGACTCCTTGAAAGAGGTGGCATCTAAGCTTAATCTGAAGGATGAAGATAAATCAGCCAGAGAGAGTGCAGGGAGTGTATACCAATTAGATGGAAGAGATTGTGCAAAGCCTCAGACTCAAGAGAATCAAGTGTATGAGGAGCTAAATACAGAATATGTAGCTGGACAGTGGGAAGGGAGACTCCCTATTCATTTCCCAGGCATTTATTGAGAACCTACAGCATGCTGGGCCCTGAGGGCACAGCTGGTAGCAAGGCAGACCTGGTCCCACCCTCGAGGGGCTGGTGGGCAAAGGAGAAACAAATCAAATAATCACAACAGTAAATGTGAAATTTTACTTTTGAGAGAAGAGTCATCTGAGAATGTTTACCCAGCTGGTCAGGGAGGTGACCTGAATGAGAAGAGTCAGCAGGGAAAGTGTTCCTGCAAGGGCATGGGGTGAGAATGAGCTCGGCTGATTCAAAGAACAGTAAGCAGTGGGATGAAGCTGGAGCAGAGTGAGCCAAGAGGAAGAGGGTGGGAAGCCAGCAGGGGTCAGGCATCACACAGCCTCCAGACAGGTGTGGATTCAGATGAGAGGGCAGTGAGGAGCCACAGGAGGATCTGGAGCAAAGGAAGGTGAGCTCACACCTATGTAAGCATCTACACAAGCGCCCACTCTCCTCTCCCTGGAGACTTGGGAAGTCATTTCCCCTCTCCAGTTTGTAAAATGGATACAACAGCCCCCACATACTGTCTCCCTGGGGCCACCTGGTGGTGGAAGAGAAAAGTGCCTGCCCAGGGCAGGAATGCTCAAATGGGGGGAATAGAGACAGTGATGTGCTAAGGGCACCAGAGACTGCTGGGCATCTCCTCAGGTCATGCAGCACACAGGGACAAAGTCAGGATGCATTCCTCAGGTCCACCCATCCTCCAGCCTCTGCCCCTTACCTGGGGGGGTTTGAGGCCATCCAGGGTCAGGCAGGTCAGATTTCAATACTGAGTCTCAGCTCTGTCTCAATTTCCCCACCAAAAAAGCTATTGCTAATACATTACCGTTATAACTGTTAATAAAATATTTAAGATTGAACCTACTAATGAAACATTGATATTAAACTATTGATGAAACATTAATGAAGTCTGGGACTTCAGGTGGGATGGAGCCAGTTAAGCATGAAGTGGGAAGGGGCACAGGCTGGGTAGTCTGTTGTGGCTGTATGACCTCAAGCAACTGAACACACCTCTCTTTACATCAGTTTCCCCATCCCCAAAATGAGCATAATAGTTCTCACTTTCAAGAGTTGCTCCAGCCCTGGCTGGTTTGGCTCAGCGGTTAGAGTGTCGGCCTGCGGTCCAGAGACCCGGGTTAGGTTCCCGCTAAGGATGTGTGCCTCGGTTGTAGTTTGTCCCCGGCCCTGGTTGGTTGAGCGGGTGGCGGCCACTCGATGTGTCCCTTTCACGTCGATGTTTCTCTCTCTCTCTCTCTCTTCCTCTCTCTCCCTCCCACTCTATTTGAACAAAAAATGGAAAAATGTCCTCTGGTGAGGATTAAAAAAAAAAAGTTGCTCCAAAAATCAAGTGACTTTTACGTGCACAGCCCTTGGCTCAGAGTCAGGCAAGTAGGAAGTGCTTTCTGTATTGATGTGCTTGGTCTTTTTTAAAAAAAATATGTTTTTTATTGATTTTAGAGGGAGAGGAAGAGAGAGAGAGAGAAACAACAATACAAGAATTGGCTGCCTCCTGCACACCCCTTACTGGGGGATTTAGCCCGAAACCCAGGCCCATGCCCTACCGGAAATCGAACCAGCAACTTTTTGGTGCATAGGGTGATGCTCAACCAACTGAGCCACATGGACCACCCAGGGCAGATGTGCTTAGTCTTTCCTTTTTTTTAAATCCTCACCAGAGGAGATATATATATATATATATATATATATATATATATATATATATATATTTATATTTTTTATCCTCACCCGAGGACATTTTTTTTATATATATATTTTATTCAGATAGAGTGGGAAAGTGAGAGAGAGAGAGAGAGAGAGAGAGAAACATTGATGTGAAAGGGACACACCGAGTGGTCGCCACCCACACGACCCAACCAGGGCCGGGGACAAACTGCAACCGAGGTACATGCCCTTAGCGGGAACCGAACCCAGGCCTCTCTAGACCGCAGGCCAACGCTCTAACCGCTGAGCCAAACTGGCCAGGGCTATTTTTTTTACATTTATTTTGAGACAGAGTGGGAAGGAGAAAGAGAGAAAAAAAAAACATCTACGTGAGAGAGATACATTGTCTGGTTGCCAACCATACAACCCCAACCAGGGCCGGCGACGAACCGCAACCAAGGTACGTGCCCTTGGCTGGAATAAAACCCGGGTCTCTTTGGTCCGCGGGCCGACACCCCAACCGTTGAGCCAAACCGGCCAGGGCTGATGTGTTTAGTCTTATGCTTCCATTTCATGTCTGTGACTTTAGGGGAGGGACTGAATCCCTCAATGCCTCAGTTTCTCCTTGGGGACATAAGACTATTGGAGCTGGGGTGGTGTCGAGGCTTCTGGGAGGGATCCTGGTGCCAGTGTCTCCACCAGGCCGATCCTGGCAGCCTCCATCCCCTGGGGATCTCCTATAATTAGGTGCAGCCACTGCAGCTACGGATCGTATTTTTGTCTTGGGGCAGCAAGTCTGGTTCCCACCAGGTGTTTGGTTGTAAGGCCGCAGATGGCGGGAGGGGTTCCTGGCCAGACCCTTGAGACTCCTTGTTTTTCTAGGCCCCAGCGTGACCCCTCTTTGAACCTCTATTTTTCTCATCTGTACAATGAGGACAATAGTGTGATTAGCAGGTCAGGAGAGAGTCAGGCTCTTCTCTCTGTGGTGCCTCAGGCTTCCTCCACTGAAGTCCTGATTGCCCTCAGCTGTATCTCATATTTTCCTAGGTGTGCCAGAAATGTGGGTGCCCCATAACTGGTATAGTCCTCCCAGGGGCACAGCTCAGGAGGTAGGAGGTGTTAACCCACAGTAGGGGCACAGTTAAACTCAGAGTTTCGTCGTGGCCTCAGATGAGAGGCCCAGACTACCTATGATGTGGCATTTGGGATCCTGCCTCCAAGTGTGACATCCTTCGAAATTTGGTTTCCTTTCTTCCAGTACAGGCTGAGCTACCTGCCCCAGCATTCTGAGGGTAGAATACCTGGTATAGGCCTCTGAATTCCCCAGACGCCACAGGTGAGGGCTCCCTTTCCAGGACTCTAGGTCCTTCCTAGAGTGGGAGGTTGGGGGTGGGGGCCGATGCTTCACAGAACAGAAGATCTGGCTGGAATGAAGTGCAGATATTTGTCCAGTGGAGACAGCAAGAAAAGGGAATGGATCTGGAGACAGGACCTGGGGTATGTCAGAGCAGGTGGGGGTCATTTGGGGACTCGTGGAGGGAGGCTGGGAGAGGAGGAGCTGGTATCTCTGCCCTGCCACGAAGTTTTGTGTCTGTTACCACCTCATTCTATGGCTCAGTTATCCTCACCTGGCAAAGGAGTAAGGGTTTGTTGCTTCTGGAAAGCCCCTTTGTGGCTCCAGGCCACAGTTCCTCCCTCTGGAAAATGGGTAGAGTGGGACTGGAAGCACTGTGTGGGACCTGGGCAGCCTCTCAGCAAACTCTGTGCCTTGGGTGCTCTGCTCCTAGTGGAGGGTGCTTCCCTTTCCGGCTTCTGCATCTCACTCTTTATTTTTTCTTTTAATGTTTTTATTGTTTTCTTTTTTCTGTAGTGAGAGATAGAAACATTGATGTGAGAGAGACAGAGAGATACATCAATCATCTGCCTCCTGCATGGCTCCTGCTGGAGACTGGGCCAAAACCCAGGCATTTGCCCTGACCAGGAATCCAACAGGAACCTGTCAGTCCATGGGACGCGCTCATCCACTGAGCCACATGGGGCCAGGCTGCATCTCACTCTTTTCAGCCAAGTTAACCCAGACAGTTGCACTATTGTGAAGCATTTGGCAGAGGAAAGTGGCCTAAGATCTGGGTTCTGGGCTTCACGGGGTCGCCCCCAAGAGGGGAAGCAGAGAGTGGCACCCAACCCCATGCCTCAGTTTCATTTGTCCCGGTGGGGTCTTCTCAGAACCGAGCAGTCCAGCGGTGAGGCAGGGCGGGCGCGCCTTCCACCGCTCCCCGCCGGCCCCGCCCCCGCGGCTGTCCAGAAAAGGTTCTGCGGCCGAGCTCGGTCCTGCCTCCACGCCGCCGCGGAGATGCAGGGTACCCCCTCATCTGCCCCCGCACCTGGGGTTGGCTCGCCCCAGGACTCCCCGCGAGGCTCCCCAGGGCTCTTGGGAAGCTCCTGGTGAACCAGAGCATCTGCCTGAAGCAGCGCTTCCCCATGGCCCGTCTGCTGTGGTGAGGCGAGCGGAGAGCTGGAGGAGTCACTGGAACCGCCAGGCTGGAGGCGGTCAGGGACAGCTGGGGCCGAATGGGAGGTCAGGGCATGTACGCTCTGCCCCTCCTGCCTTTTCTTGGTGTCTGTCTTCCCCGGTCCTATCTCTGTCTCTCTCCCCCTGCTGCCTGGACACAAGCAGGGGGTACCAACCGGCTGTCCCTTTCCAGCTGTGGTGCCCAGAGCAGGATGAGCTGAGGTTGGTCTCCTGATCCTCCCGCTTGGGCAGGTGGCCTGAGCGTCCAGGAGTGAGGGGAGGGACAAAGGTCACTCCTCCCCTTGGTTTGCTTCCTTCCATTTGTCCGGGGGCTTCACATAAAACCTTCGGTGTCACCCTGGCCGGTTTGGCTCAGCACCGGCCTGCGGTCCAGAGAGACCCGGGTTCGGTTCCCGCTAAGGGCATGTACCTCGGTTGCAGTTTGTCCCCGGCCCTGGTTGGATGGTGCGGGTGGTGGCCACTCGATGTGTCCCTTTCACGTCCATGTTTCTCTCTCTCTTCCTCTCTCTCCCTCCCACTCTATCTGAACAAAAAATGAAAAAATGTCCTCGGGGGCGAGGATTAAAAAAAAAACCTTCAGTGTCCCCCGAGGAAGACTCAATTTTATGGTGGCCTTCGAGGCATGGTATTCCTAGCGTAAGAGAAGAGTTGTGTATCCCAGACCAAGAGCGGATCCACGCAGCACAACTCGGTGGCATCCTCCAAGCACTTGTCACCTCTCTGGGTTCGAATCCCCGCCCTTCAAGAAGCGACTGTGAGTTCTCGAGGTGTGGGGGTGAGGCTAGGGTCGGAGGTGGGGTTTGTGGGCACCGACTGTGTCTGGCACCCTGCACCCTGTTTGGTTCGTGCTGCATTAACACCCCCTTGATTGGCACCTGGCGGCTCAGATACTAGGTCTCTTCAAACAGCCAGTGACCGCTAGCAGGGATGGGGCAGTCTTGGCCTTGGTCTCTGATAGCGCCATGGTAGCCCGGGAGGGGTTCCCAGGTCCGGGAGAGTGTCCCCAGGCCACCCACAGATGCCTGCTAAGGGTAGTCTGTGCCCAGGGCTCCAGAGAGAGCACAGGGGCGTCGAGGAGCGCCCTCGGGTTCCAGAAGGTGAGGCTGGACAGAGGCACAGCTTCTACAGTCGGGGCGACCTCGCCCGGTGCCGCCCGCCTCATGGAACCACAGCCTGACCCCGCTACTCCCAGGTAGATTTAGAACAGAAAGAAAAACAACTTCCCCAGCCCGCCGGCACATTGGATTCGAATCCAGCACCCTGTTGGCCTCTCTCGGCTTGTTTTGCTAGTTATCCGTGGGTGTGCTTCCCCAGACCACTGGAGAGAGGCAGAAGGGAGAGGGGTCCCACCCCTAGGTCTCCCCCAGGAGGGCGGGTCAGTGTATCAGCGGCTAGCCCATCCCTGAAGAGCGCCCCTCGTCTGCTGCGCTCCCCTTGCCAGGCGGGAGAGGGTTAAGAGCCCCGCTCTCTTCGTGACGTCGCGAAGCTGGAGCTCCGACGCGCGGTAGTGGCTTCTCCTCCGGCTGCTGAAACCACCTGGCGGAGAGCCGCAGGACAAAGCCAAGCGCGCCCGAATTCACTTGAGTGAGGCCGAACATACGCGAATGTTCCCGAACGCATCCGAACCTGCCCGAGCGCGGTCGGACGTAGCCAAGTCAGAATGAACTCATCCGACCCAACTCAATTGGACCAGGCCCAGTAGAACTTAAACCCAACCCTGCATGACCCAGTTGGCCCGAATCCAACCGACCCAGACAAAATCCTGCAGAATCCCAGATGGGTGACCTGGCGTGGGACCAGGTGGACACTGGTCCTTGGCCAGAAGCACCAAGTTGTGGGCAGTCCCTGGTGTGTGCCTGTCTCCTGCCTGCTCCCTTTCAAAGCCCGAGACCCACAGGTAGCCTCCCTCCCGCTTGCTAACTACCCATCCAGAACCTTTGACCTCTGACCCCGAGGAGGATGGGCACAGATTCCCCATTACCCAGGCAAGGTGTGGCGGGAGGGAGGGACAGGGCTGAGAGAGTTGGAAGGGAGGAACTGGAAATTGCTCGGAGCGGGGGGTGCTGTGGGAGGATGGTGCTCTGGATAGGGAGTACAGCCCGTAGAGAAACCCGGAGGTGGAAGAGAACAGGCAGAACGTTCCGGCGAAAATGAAGCTTGCCAGTCAAGGATCTCGGGGCGTGGTCGACGAGATTGTGGCGGGGCCAAGTGGGCTGAGGGTGGAGCCTGGGGGCTGGGGGAGGGAACAGGCCATCCTGGGAGTGACCAAAGCTGGCTAGGGGCTGGGCCTCTCCCTGCTGCGGGGAACTTTGGAACTGGGCAGCTCTAGGCAGGACCCAGGCCCCTCCAGAGAGAAGAGCTCAGAAAGTCGTTTCCAGTGTCCGTGAACTTACGATGCGATCTGGACCTCAGTTTCCTTCTTAGTGATATGGAAGCCCAGTTGTTTTCCGGTGCTCATTTGTAACTCCCTAAAAACGTCCTCGGAGAAGACTCTACCATGCCTGTATAGAGACAGGGTGGTTGATATCCAGAGAAAGACCGAGACCTACCTATGGTCACACGGACATTTGGGGACAGAACTGAAACTCACATCCTTGTCCCAGTAGGGAGACTCTGGTACAGAGATGGAAACCAAAGCATGAGGGGTGCTGGGTCCTTGAGTAGGAGTGTTACTGAGGCAGGTAGGCAAATTATAAACTACTCCTTTGTGGCCCACCATCTGGCTTCAGAAGGATGTGAAAGAACAGGTTTGAGCCACCACAGGCCATCTGCCTGCCAGATCCCTCACCTCTGACCCTGCCTCCTCTTCCAGCTTTGACCTAGAATATGCACTGTCGTATGGGAGAAGCCCCCTTGACCCTCAGGTTGGGCCTGGCCTTGGCCAGTTCATCCAGGCCCCTGCCCAACACAGCCAGCAGTGCCAGTCCTTCCTGTACTGCTGGGACAGTGAATACAAACTCTCATCTAAGACTATGTCCCAGAACTCCTCTGTGGCCAGCGACCTGTGAATATGAAGCTGGTGGGGTGACACCTCGTCTCTTCCTCCTTCTTTTATTTTTTCATTCAACACACCTCCTTTAAGTGGCCATTTGATCTGGGTTTTGTAGTTTAAGTAGGAGTTTGTCAAGCAGCCACTTATTCAGTTGAGCATGCCTAGAATGATATCTGGTAATCTGTGCTTGACTTTAGGCTGGGGTTGAGTAGAAACATTAAGGACAATTAGTAGTAACTGAACACCTTAATTAGAACTTCCTGGTAGCCATAATAAAAAGGGAAATATAATAATATGCCTGCTGCCCTCGGGACTCAATTTTTTCATATGTGAGGTCAGAGGGGCTGTGGTGGCTTTCAGGGAAGAGTTGGGTAAGGGGAGCCCAGGGACCAGTAGGGCACCGGAAGGAGGAGTCGAAGGAAGGACATGTTCAGCTGAGTGCAGTGTGTGCAAAAGCTGGAACATGGGAACACCTAGTGGGTGCCCACTCCTCCCCGCTCCCTGTGTGAGCCAAACAGCTGACGACAACCCCCCACCCCCACTTTCCAATGCTGATCATACCTCTCCCGACAGGTCTTGACCAGTCTACCCACCATTCGGAGCATGTTTGGGCACTAGCCCACCTGCAAGGCTGAAGGACAGCCAAGTACAAAGGGGGCAGGGGCGGGGCCTGGCAGAGAGAAGGGCAGGGCTGGGAGGAGGGGGTGATAGCAGGGCCCAACTGACCAGGTGGGCTGGGTGGGGACGGGGGTCATATGGATGAGGCAGGCCACCCCAGAGTGGACTGTTCTGCAGATAGGCATCTGCGGAACCCCCTATCTGGCAGTCAGTCCCCTCCACCTACAGGTAATGCTCCTGCTCCTACCCCTCCCTCACACTATGGGACCACTCTCAAGCTCTTCATGGTGACCTCCCCAGCCTATAAATCCTTAGGCTGTGCTCATTGTAACCCCCCTAAAAACACCCTCAGGGATAGAGTTTGCCATGCCCATATTACAGATGGGGAGGCTGAGGTCCAGAAAGGGGCAGAAACCTGCCAATGGTCTTACAGCCACTTGGGGACAGATCTGCAACTCAAATCCTGGAGTCTGAGTGGCCTCATTGGGAAGGGCTGGAGCATCCAGATGTAGACTGGAGGCAAGAAGGGTTTGGAGTACTCAAGTGGGGGTGGGAAGACCCCTGACGACTCAGCTCCCAGAGGACACTGGCAGAAGCTGGCTTTGGAGACACTGGATGAGTTGGACTAGTGTCTGGATCAGCTAGAGACACTGCAGACCCGGCACTCAGTGAGTGAGATGGCTTTCAAATGGTGAGGAGGTTCCGCCCACAGTGCCCTCATCACTGTCCTCACCTTCCCCGGCAGTTCAAGTGGATGCTGAACTGGGAGTTGACTCACTTGTCCAAAACCAGCCACTCTGGGAACCAGGTGTGAGAGTACATCTCCCAAATATTCCTGGGTCAGCTGTGGTGGGTCACTGTCTGGGCAACATACAGAGGTAAGAAGAAAGACTTCTAGCCTTTTCCCGAAAGCAGCCAGAGGTGACCTCTGAAAATGGCTCACTATTCACTTGACCCAGAAAACCCCACAAAATCATGCAAGTCAAGAGGTTCAAGTCTTCGTGTTCACTTTAAGAACACTGAGGAAATTGCCCAGGCCATCAAAGGTATTCATATTCGAAAAGCCACCAAGTATCTGATTACAGAAGCAGTGTGTGCCTTTCCGTTGTTACAATGGTGGAGTTGGTAGGTGTGCCCAGGCGAAACAGTGGGGCTGGACACAGGGTCGGTGACCCAAAAAGAGTGCTGAGTTTTTGCTGCACATGCTTAAAAATGCAGAGAGCAATGCTGAACTTAAGGGTTTAGATGTAGATGCTCTGTTCATTGAGCACATCCAGGTAAACAAAGCTCCCAAGATGCGTCGTAGAACTTACAGAGCTCATGGGCGGATTAACCCACACATGAGCTCTCCCTGCCACATTGAGGTGATCCTCACTGAGAAAGAGCAGATTGTTCCTAAACCAAAAAAGGAGGTTGCACAAAAGAAAAAGATATCCCAGAAGAAACTGAAGAAACAAAAACTTATGGCCCGGGAATAAATTCAGCATAAAATAAAGACTAATAAAAGTAAAAAAAAAAAGAAAGACTTCTACTACAGATCTCAATCTAGGGAAGACAGAGCCGGACATGGACACTCCCAGTGGCATGGGTGAAGGCTAGACCAGAGGGAGGAACAGGAGGAACTTCCAGGAGGGAGCATTAAAGCTAGGGTTTTGAAACATGAGTAGAAGTTTTCTTATTTTATTTATGTATTTTTTATTCTCACCTGAGGACATTTTCCCATTTTTTGTTCAGATAGAGTGGGAGGGAGAATGAGGGAGAATGAGGGAGAAAGCAAAAAAGAGAGAGAAACATCGACGTGAAAAGGACACATCAAGTGGCTGCCACCTGCACAACCCCAACCAGGGCTGGGGACAAACTGCAACCGAGGTACGTGCCCTTAGCGGGAACCAAACCTGGGTCTCTCTGGACCGCAGGCCAATGTTCTAACCGCTGAGCCAAACCAGTCAGGGCAAAACATGAGTAGAAATTTTCCAAGAAGGAGATGGAGGAAACCAGACAGCTGGGTCTCCAGCTTGGGAGATAGAAAGGATATTGAGCTATTTGAGGGGAAAACACTGAGCTACAGGCTCTCAGGGGTCATGTCCATCAAAAGGGGTTATTGAGATCAGCCATGAAAAAAGAGGTAGCTACAGACCAGGGGGGGACTTTGCTTTGAGCTTACTTTGATCCAGATAAAAAGAAAATAGGTTAATCCTGAGGCTTAGCAAAGTCCAGGACCTGAGGCTAGACAGGACAACCCTCGCAGGTGAACTGGCTTCTGTGAGTCCCACCCTGCCATCCCTCCAGACCAGCAGGCTGATGTGGAGTTCCCAGGGCAACCTCCATGGAGCCCTCGAGGCCCATGTCCCAGATCAGTGGCCTGCACGGGCTCCCCCACAGTGCCAGTTTTTCCACAGCCATGATTCCACGCTTTGGGGTCCAGACTGACTAGGACTGGCCAAGGTGGGTTCCCAACTAGAATGCTGAGACCCTGGTTAGAGTTCTGGCTGTTTGGATGCCCTATTTTGAAATTCAGTTTGCCCACTTGTATACTGGGCAAGTGGGGCTAAATATACGATCTGGGGCCTTGGGGAGGTGGGACTCACAGGTCCAGAGTCTGGGGAAGTTGAGCTGGGGTCAAGCTCCAGTTCTTCACGTTTTAGGAACTGGAAGACACCAATGAGTGGGGACTTGACCTGTTCAAGGTGGTGGAGCTAAGTGGGGACCAGCCCCTCACAGCCATCATATTCAGCATCTTTCAGGTACCTCCCATACCTTGGCTTCCAATACCACTGAGTTTCTTTTACTCCTTTCTACCTCAAGACCTTAGGGGACACATATACTTTAACTGCCCCCTAACATCCCTGAATGGGATCATTTGAGCAGGGCATTGAAGGATGAATAGAAGTTCACAGGCTGAACAGTTCATTGCTGACTGTCAACAAGCCTCAGCTCTGGACCCAGGCCCGAAGAGACCTAGCCTGGAGGGAACAACTGTGGGGGTCAGGGATAGGCCAGAGGGGAAGGACAGAGACCAAGTGAATTCAGAATTGAGGGCATCCTGGAAGATGAGGCATTTGAAAGATGGATTGAAGTTCAGAAAGAGAGGAGGTATAAGAATAGTGTGTGCTTCTGCCTGGAGACGAGGTCCTAACTGGGCGCCTGGGGTGAACCAGAAATGGGACCTGCTCAAGACATTTCAGATCCCAGTGGGCAAACTTGTCACCTGGGACACTGGAGGGTCATTACCATGTCGATGTGGCCTACCACAACATCCTGCATGCCGCTGATGTGGCCCAGTCCACGCGTGTGCTACTAGCCATGCCTGCACTTGAGGTATAGCCCTACAAGCAGGCCAGGCAGTGCAGGGTGCAGAGCAGAGAGCCCACCCCTCACCTCTTATGCGCATGTCTTCTCACAGACTTGAAGGTCCATGCTGTCATCTTTGCAAGTGCCATCCATGATGTGGACCACCCTGGGGTTTTCAACCAGTTTCCCATTAACACCAGTGATTACCACCTGTCAATCATATGATCTCCAGTGATCCCATCCCTGCTTTGAGCCTAGTCTCCCTGTTCGTAAAATGAATGTGACAATCTTCTCTCTCTTAGGTACTCAGAGAGGTCCAGGTACACAGTAGACACTCAATAAATGAGAGAATAACAAATATGGTAGAGCTGATCTGAGCCCACTGAGATTTTAAAATTTAGGGTCCTTTGAGTTATCAGAAAAACTTAACTCAATAAGCAATTATTGGGCACTTCTTGTGTATATTCTAGGAGAACTGGGGATGAGAGTAAAGCCCTCTCACTCAAGGATCCCAGAGTCTAGTTAGACAATGATTCAGTTGTTCATTCAACCAGCTCTTAGTACATACTCTTTCCTGCTATGCCAAGTCCCCAAGGAGCCTCCAGTCTTGAGAAGGCAGGGCAAAACACAAATGTCCCCAGCCCCATGGAGTCAGGGCATGGACAGAGGAGAGAGAGACAGGGTCATCGAAGACTTCCTGAAGGAGAAAGCATTAGAGTTGGGGCTTCAATGCATGAGTAGGAGTTGGCCAAGAGTTCACTAAACCTGCTTTTCAGTGAAGTGGGTTGGTCGGGCAGATCTTTAGTCTCTCCACCTTCTCCACAGACTTGGAGCTTGCACTTATATACAGTGAGACCTCTGCCTGGAGAACCACCACCTGGCTGTGGGCTTCAAGCTGCTTCAGGCAGAAAACTGCGATGTCTTCCAGAACCTCAGCACCAAGCAGTAGCTGAGTCTGCACAGGATGGTCATTGACATAGTGAGGCCACAATGATGGATGGGGTGGGATAATCTTCTCCAGTCAGACCTGGGTATGTCTCCACTTTGAGCCTGAGCTTCCTGGTCTATAAAATGAGGCAATGACCCTCTAAGCCCTGGGTGGGGTGACCAGGTCCTTGGCCATTCCCCACCCACCTGCAATTCACACACAGTGATGTGAAAACTGAGTTTCTGAGGTTTCAGGTGCAACTTTTTCTGAGCCTTTAGTCTGTCTATTTTATGTTTTCCAGGTTGGGTGACACCAGTAAGTTCTAGGGTCTTGGTGCCTCATTCATTCATTGAACCTATTGTGTGTTTGCCCTTTATAATGACCAAAACAGTTACGGTCTTTCTGAGATTCCGGTTTGTGGAGGAGATGGACACGTGGATGGGAGCTATAATGGGGACCCTTAAGCAGAGTTGTGATGGATGACTTGTAGACAGAGCTGTGACGGGGGAATGCTCAAGGTCAGGTAGGGCTTCCCCAAGAGGAGAAACACTAAAGCCCAGAAAAGGGAACAGCATGTAGGAAGGACTCAGAGGAAACTAAGGCTCCCAGTGAAGAGAAACTAAAAATTTGGTGAGACAGAGTTGGGGCCTTGGGTGGTGGGCATCATTTGGAGCAAACTGGAGGTTTGAGAAGAAGTTTTGAGACTTTTGTCTGATTCTCAGAGAAGCCCATGAGCTGGGTGTCAGTTACTCCTGGGTCCACATAGGTCCAGCGAAGTTGATTTTTATTTTATTTATTTATTTATTTATTTATTTATTTATTTATTTATTTATTTATTGTTAATCCTCACTTGAGAATTAAAAAATTTGCACCTGAAACCCCAGAAGCTCAGGAGGGAGAGAAAAAGAGAGAGAAGACAGAGACAGAGAGAGACAGAGAAAGACAGAGAGAAAAACCGATGTGAGAGAGACACATTAATTGATTGCCTCCTGCACATGCACTGACCAAGACGGGATCAAACCTGCAAGGCAGGTACATGCCCTTGATTGGAATCGAACCCATGATCCTTTGGTGTACAGGCTGATGCTCTAACCACTAAGCAACACTGGCCAGGGCCAAAGTTGATTTTTCTTTTTTAATTAAAAAAATATTTTAGCCCTGGCCAGTTTGGCTCAGCTATTAGAGCGTTGGCCTGCGGTCCAGAGAGACCCAGGTTCGGTTCCAGCTAAGGGCACGTACCTCGGTTGCAGTTTGTCCCCAGCCCTGGTTGGGTTGGGTGGGTGGCAACCACTCGATGTGTCTCTCTCACATTGATGTTTCTCTCTCTCTCCCTCCCTCCCACTCTATCTGAACAAAAAATGGGAAAAAGAAAATGTCCTCAGATGAGGATAAAAAATTTTTTTAAAAATATGTTTTCTTTATTGATTTTAGAAAGAGAGGAAGGAAGAGGGAGAGAAAGCTAGAAATATCAATGAGAGAGAACATCGATTGGCCGCCTGCTCCACGCCCCCCACTGGGGATTTGGTTCACAACCTGGGCATGTGCCCTGACTGGGAATTGAACCGGCGACCTCTTGGTGCATGGGTTGATGCCCAACCACTGGGCTGAAGTTGCTTTCTAAACAGCTGTGTTTGGGGCTGAATTGCTGAAAAAAGCCCTCTCAGGCACACAGTGGCCATGGGGAAATTTGGGGAACACTAAGTTATGTTCCTCCCAGCTTCAAGACCACCTATGGCTCCCATGGCCCTCTAGGTAAGTCCCCCACTCCTCCCTGAGGAGCTCTCTGCTCCTGTCAACCTCACTTGCTCCAGCCGTAACTGTTTCCTCTATGTTCCTCAGCTCATCCAGCCCAGGGCCTTTGAACAAGCCATGTCCTGGGCTGAGCATCACAGCTGCCCTCAGGTACATCTCACCTCAGCTCCCGTATTTAATCTTTAACATGTGGAATATACCCCATGAGCCTAACAACCTTGGAGATAGGACTGTTAACTCAGCTTCTCTTGTGAGCTGGGTTTGCAGCCAATCTCATTACATCTCCCCATTTCATAGTTGAGGACACTGAAGCTCAGAGGGCTGAGGGGCTGAATGGGTGTCTAGGAGTAAAGAGTGGGGTGGGAGCAATGCTCATACCTGTTATTCCCCCCTCACCTGTTCCCAGGTGCTGGCCACTGACATGTCCAAACACATGCACCTCCTGGATGACCTCAAGTCCATGGTGGAGACCAAGAAAGTGACGAGCCTGGGAGTCCTGCTGCTAGACTGCATCCAGGCGTGTGGCTGGGCAGACCCTGGGGCCTCAGTTTCCATGCTTCTCATTTATGAAGTGCTGACTGTGTGACAGACTTGAAGAAATGGAGGCACCAAGATTCACGTGACTGTGCCTTAGCCACTCCTGCTCCCAGGCCTTGGTTTCTCCATCTGTAAAAGGGTTGTATCCATGGTGCCAGGCTGGCAATGGGAGTTAACTGAGCCCGAGGTGGCCTGGCCTGAGTCCTCCTGAGCCTTGGTCTCCTTAGGTCTTGCAATACCTGGTGCACTGTGCTGACCTCAGCAACCCCACTAAGCTGCTGCCCCTGTACCACCTGTGGACAGACCACATCATGGCTGAGTTCTTCCAACAGGGAGACCGTGAGCGAGAGTCAGACCTGGACATCAGCCCCATGTGTGACATGCACATGGCCTCAGTGGAGAAGTCCCAGGTCAGAGGGTGACTGGGTCAAGCTGATGGGCACTGGGCATGGGGGAGAGAAAGGAGAAGGTGAGCCTACCCCATGAGTTCTGGCTTGACCCCTGGCTGGTCAGAGGGAATGTGGCCTAATGGCATGGTCTGTCCTGGGCTGTGTGGAGTAGGCAGAGATGCACTCTCTCTGGGCTGCAGGGAGAGGGATCTGTACTCATGGGGTTTGAAACTGTCTGTTCTGAGTGGTGTAGGGGAACCTGGAGGGGCTCTTAGTCTGGAGACACTTACACTTAGCTTTGAGGGGTCAGGGCTGGGGTAGAAGGAAAGACTCAGAAGTTTGGGAAGCCCAGAAGGGGCAGAGGAGGCTTTCTAAAGAGGGGCTGTTTGAAGAGGGTTTTGAAGGATGAGTAGGAGTTGGACAATGGCATTCCAGGGAGAGAACAACCCAGGCAAGGGCCTGGAGACTTGACTGGGTCTACATCCCATGATGCCTTATAGCACAGCTACCTCCCCCACCCAACCCTGTATCACTCCACAGGTGGGTTTCATTGACTACATCGCCCACCCACTGTGGGAGACTTGGGTTGACCTGGTGCACCCAGATGCACAGGACCTGCTGGACACACTAGAGGACAACCTCAAGTGGTACCTGAGCAAGATTCCCTACAGCCCTATGAATCCCACCAGCCTTGGGGGACCTTGACAGATTCCAGTTTGAGCTGACTCTGGAGGAGGCAGAATAAAAAGTGGGGAAGGAGGAGGAGAGAATGTTGGCCCTGGAGGCCTCGGAGTCACCTGACAATGATCTCCTGTCCCCTGAGGCCAGCTCAGACCCTGGGGCCTTATACTTAGACAACCAGAGGACTATGGACAAGCTCTGAATGGACCATGAGGGCAATGTGACGGCTGAGCCATTTGGCCCCTTATGAATGGACTTTCCAGGAAGAGGTCCTAGGTGACTCGTGCCTTGTCTTCTTCACACATTGAGGAAGACAACCAAGCTTTTAGTTATAGGCAAGTTTCAGGGTCACATTGGAGGCACCTGGCTGGGGTCCACTCTGACCTTTGGCTCTGCTGAGAGAGCTGTCCTCCAGACTCACCTCTGAAGCTGGGGCTGGGTCAGGCCCAATTTCTGCAGTGATCACTCTTGAGCCACAGCCATCACTTATTCTTTCATTATTTTTTTAAAATATGTTTTTCTTTATTGATTTTTAGAGAGAGAGGGAGAGAGAGACAGAAACGTCGATGAGAGAGAACATTGATTGGCCACCTGCTACACACCCCCCCCCCACTGGGGATCAGGCCCATAACCTGGGCATGAGCCCTGACTGGGAATCAAACCCACAAGTTCTTGGTGCATGGGTCAACACTCAACAACTGAGCCACACCAGCTGGGCTATTCTTTTATTCTTTTTTTTTTTTTAATCCTCATCTGAGGACATTTTTGCATTTATCTTGAGATAGAGCAGGAGGGAGAGAGGGAGGAAGAGAGAGAGAGGAATATTGATGCAAGAGAGACACATCGAGTGGTCGCCACCCACATGACCCCAACTGGGGCCGGGGACAAACTGCAATCGAGGTACATGTCCTTAGCAGGAACAGAACCCCAGCCTCTCTGGATCGCCGGCTGATGCTCTAACTGCTGAGCCAAACCAGCCAGGGCTATTCTTTCATTCTTTATCAGATATGTATTGGGCACCTACTATATGCCAGGCCTGTGCCTGCTATGTGCCTCTGGAATAGCCTTGTGCCAGGGGGTGAGGTGTCAGCCTCAAGGAGATGCCCCCTGCAGGCACCTCCCTTTCATCTGCTGGGCAGCTCCCTGCAGGAGAACAGGACCTTGAATGGGGGACTGTGTGGTACCAAAGCTTTGTCCAGTCCCAGCTCTGGTTCTGGAGCTCTGGAGAGGGGTGGTAAGGAGGCAGCAAAAAGAGGGGACATCTCTGAAGACTGATGTGGCCTGTTGCTGCTTGTGCATGTTATTGCTTTAAGTAGCTATAATTTCTGTCTCTGGGTGCACCTATTCTCTGATCCCAGGACCCCCTGGCTGGTCACCCCCTTATATAACAGCAACAAAAGCACACAAGGTGGGTCTCTGTATCTCCTGATTGTGAGGGTGCTCCAGACTCCTCCTAGGAAGGCCTCCTGGACTTCAGTTTCCCCTCAATGACCAGATCCTAGTATTTGGGTAAATTTTGGTTGAGGGGCAGTGTCTGTGACCACCCTGAAATATCTTAGAAATTTGGGGATGGAACGTTTCTCTGGGGTTAAATAAACCTTATTACCCCAAATTAGTATTATGTCCATTTCATGAATGAGGAAACTGAGGCACAGAGCTGTCCTGTTGCCTGCTCAAGGCCACGCAACTGGGCTCTGGACATTAGCCAGCAGCGCCCCCTGGCGGCGGGAGGCACAGCAAATTTGGGGGTCCTGCTCGCCTGGCTTGCCGCCCCTCCTGCGTCTCCCTTGTTGAAGCTCAGCCTGTGCAGGTGCAGCCTCTTTGGGAGAAGACAAAGTGGCTCTGTGTTCAAGTCTCAGATTCAATTCCCCTCTCCAGAAGGCTCAGTATTCCACCCCAAAACTTGCCTCCCTTCCAGCGTGCCTGAAAATTTATGCATGACACAAGTCCTTGCAGTAGCCTCTGGCTTCCAGAAAACTCCCTTCATTACTAGATGATTCCATTGATAATTCATCAACATCACAATTAATGATCAAATTCCACAGAGGGAAAATTAAACGTCATCTAGGTCATGAACTTGGTGTATTTCCTTCCAGATCTTTAAAAGGCAGAAATTTAGGGGATGATTATTTACACTTTTTTCTCCCTCCCCTTTAACTTGTAAGTAATATGTGTTCACCTTAGATAATATGGAAATAATGGAAACATAAAGAAGAAAATAAAATTAAGTTATAATCTCACCTATAAACTATCTGCCTTCGGCATTTCACCTTATTTCCCTTTGGATTTTTCTCCACCCATTCATACGAACATTCATACGTTCCCCTTTAATTTAGGCTACAGGAATCCCTCCTACTCCCCTTACTATTGCACTCTACCTACACTGGCTTTCCACACCCCAAGCACAGGCCCCCAACCCAGGGCCTTTACACATGTTCTGCCCACCACCTGGAATGCTTCTTTTACCCTTCATTTTCAGACTCTGGGTCTCAGCTTAGCAGCCCCTCCGCTGGAAGGTCCTCCCTGATACTCATTCCAGGCTGGCACTAGTGGAAGCTCTGGCAATTCTTCACTTCATGTCTGACATGCTCTCCAGAGCATGATCCTGGGATGCCTGGGCCAGATACACCACAGCACCATCCTCAGTGTTCCCCCAAAATGGACTTCTGACAACTTCAACAAGTCCCTTAACCTCCTGAAGTCTTTGTAATTTCATGGATAAAGTGGGCTCTTTGTGAGGGTCACATAATTGCAACAACAGCCCGACCGGTGTGGCTCAGTGGTTGAGCATCAACCCATGCACCAAGAGGTCACCAATTCAATTCCCGGTCAGGGCACATGCCCAGATTGTGGGCCAAATCCCCAGGGGGGGACATGCAGGAGGCGACCAATCGATGTTCTCTCTCAGTGATATTTCTACCTCTCTCTCCTTCTCCCTTCCTCTCTCTCTGAAATCAATAAAGAAAAAACATTGCAACAACAGGTAATATTTAAGGAAAGTGTGTCCTGAGCTAGGCACTGAGATACATGCTGAAAGTGCAAATCAACTTTGCCTCTTTCTTCTTCCATTTCACAGATGTAGAAACTGAGGTCCACAGAGGGGATGACTGATGTCACTCACATGTTCCAATCCCCCCTCCCCATTTTATGCTGTTTGGGGTCCGTGCCTTTGTGACCCACCCTAAACCTAAAGAGGAGTGTGGGAGGTCTTTAGGGCCCCCCTTGAAACTTTCAGCCCTTGTGACTCTCAGGCCCTCAGTTTGCCCTCTGTTAAGGGATAAAACCTTGTTTACTCCATCTCTCTCACAGAACTGGAGAGGGGTTGTCACTTAAGCTTGTTTAGTAAGTTCCAGCCTCAGGGCCTTTGCACTCACTTGCTGTTCCCCCACTCTCCCTGTGGCCAACTCCTTCAGGTTCCTGCTCAAATGTCACTTTTTAGAGAGGTCTTTCCTAACCTTCCTGGTCAAAGTCACCCATCATTCATTCATTCACGTCATACCATCACAGGACACTTACTGCGTCACAGGTCTAGGTGTTTTCAGAACTCAAAGATGGCTAATGAATAAACACATCAACATAATCATTTTTGATGTATCAGGAAGGAAAAATATAATGACATGATAGGAGATGACAGAGTGAAATTGGAACCTCTGGAAAGAGGAGGTGGTGTTGATCAGAAACCTGAAGAGGATGAGCCCTGGCCAGTTTGGCTCAGTGGTTAGAGTGTTGGCCCGTGGACCAAAGGGCCTCAAGTTTGATTTTGGTCAAGGGCACATACCTGGGTTGCAGGTTCGATCCCCAGCCCCAATATCTTCAGGTGAGAATTAACCAAAGAAAGAAAGGAAGACAGAAAGTAAGAAAAAGAAAGCTGAAGAGGATGAGAGAGAGCTGGGGAAAAGGTGCTCCAGGTAAAGGGAACAGCAAATGCAAAGGCCCTGAGACAGGATCACACCTGGGACCAGTGAAGGAGTATCTGGCTAGAGGAGAAAGATGAGATGGGGATAACTGATGAGGATCCTGGGAGACCAGGACTTCTGGGAGGAGTTTGGACTTTACTCAGTGGAGTGAGACCTGGGAAGGCTTGGGGTGCTTCTCCCACCTGGCTCTGTCTCTCCTGCCAGGCAGGAGACCCTCCAAAACACACAGCCACCCACTCCCCAACCCTGCCATTTAACTATTCCTAATTCCAAAGCCAAATGCTGATTCTTAGCAATAAAGGCCTTGCGCTATTTTCATGTTAAAATATAAATTTGGGTGGAAGCTGGTGCACATTGTTGTGGGTTTTTTCCCTGAGAAAAAACCAGGTATTTCCAAGTGCCACCCACATATGAAGCCCCAAGCAGGAAGGTCAGGGAGCCCAGCGGCCTCACACCTCCTCACTTCCACCATGTACCTGGACCAGATGTACCTAGAGCTGGGACTCAATTGCCATCTCTGCGTGGGGGGAAACTGGGGTGGATATTTATTTATTTATTTATTTATTTAGGGTTTTTTGAATTTCCCCAATTCTCCGCAGTGGGTTTGTGATAGCCAAAATGGGGGAAATGGACAAAAATGTCACCCTTAGGTAGAACAGATTTCTCAAATGCAAGCGGAGCGGGAGGGACATTCTGCGTTTCCAGGGCTCTGGGGGCATGAGTGGATTGAGGGGGCGGCCTCCAGGCGCAAAGTTATTCCGGTCTCTCCTCTCCTCTGCCGCCGGAGAGCTTTTTATAAACAGGACAAGACTCCTCCCGGCCCCACCCATGCCCGCCTCCTGGGGAGCAATCGGGGGGATCAGGATTTTCCTGGGGCCACAAGCCCACTTCTGGGTCTGAGGACCAGGGGCAGTTGGGGGCAGGGACCTAGAATGGAGGGCACGTGTCTTGTTCTCCCGCCCGCCAGCATTTCTGACTTTCCCCGCCTCAAGATGGGGGGGGGGGGGGGACGATGATTCAGCCCCCAGAATCTCCACTTTGAGTCTTGTTTCCCCAGGATAGAGGGTGGGGTCTTTCCGGCCTTGTCTCTAACTCAGGAACCAAGGGAGAAGTGAATCCTCTTCCAGCCCCGCGTCTTTATTGTTGGGTCTCTAAGCCTCGCTCGTACCCTCCTTGTTCCCCGGTCTTGTATAGTAGGCTTTGCAGATTTAGGGGGCAGGCAGTTTCTCTGCCCTACTTCCGCCTTAAAATTTTTCTCTGGAAAATGGGGCTCAGGCAGGGGAGGGGTTGTTGGAGCGTCCATCAGCCCCTTTCCTTTATTTCTGGGAATTGGTGGGGAGAGGTGACTCTCTTGGTCCCTATTTCTTATTTCACCTCAGAAATAGGGTGGTGCATCTATCAGCCCAGCCCACGTTGGGGGCCTTACATCTCAGAAAATGGATGGGGTCTCTCTCGACTTCTATCTCCGCTTTTTCTCTTGTACTTATTTATTTCGAACCCCATAAATAGGAAGTATGGGGCAGCTCTCGACCTCTGTTCCTATTTTCTGAAATTGGGAATAGGGAGCGTCTGACGAGGGGTCACAGTATCCTGGCCTGAGTGGGGGCCACAATGTGTCCCACCTGAGGTGAGCGGTGGCGGGGAAGGGGAACGCCCCCTGGAGACCCGGGCTCAGCCAAGGCCTCGGCCTCTCTTGCCCAACGACTCGGGAGCCACCACTGGGCAGAAACAGGAAGATGATAATCACTTATTGGCTACTCGGCTCGTCGCTCGAGTGCTTAAGCCAGTCAGAGGTTGCTGCGCAGCCCCGCCTCCACGACACTTATGAGAGGCGGAGCCGGAAGGCAATTTCTCTTCTGTCACCATCTCGCCGGCTACTGGATTTGCCCCGCCCCATTTGTGCGTCAATCGGCACGAGAGCCCCGCCCCTCCTAGCTCTGCGGGCTTCAGTGGGCCACATCTTCTCGCGCGGCTCCGCCTCAGGATGGCGTCACGGCCGTATCTGCATGTGAGGCCCCGCCCCGCTCCTTGCAGGACGTCACCGCAGACTGCAGGGGCTCCAGCCGCTGCCGCGCAGCCCTACATCAGCACACAGAGGGCTCGTCACCGCCGCTGCCAAAAAATTTGCCGTCGCTAAGGTCGCCACCGCATCGGTGCAGGGCAAGGTGAGCTCATGGGCGGCCCGGTGAGCTCCTGCTCAAAGCACCTAAATAACCTTCATTTGGCTGATGGGCTGGCGGGGATGGGGACGAGGTTGGCGAGGGTTAAATGAGAGGATTCTCGCGGGCCCGTAGAGCCCTGACTCCCCTCACCTGCCAGACTCTCATCTCCCTCATCCCTGCCTCTGCGGCGGAGGGGGAAGGGAGGCGAATGTTTTGCGGGAAGCTGTGCGTGCGCGTGCGCGTAGTGTGCACACGCGTGTGCGCGCCCGCTCGTGTCGGCGGGTCTGTGTGTACCCTTACGAGTGTATTTGGATAGGTTCTTGTGACCCTGTGTGGGTCCTGACCCAAGTGTGTGCTTGCTGCATGCTTGTGAAGAGAAACGCATGGATTGTGTGTGCGCGTCCACGGCTCTGTGCATAAGTACACGGGAATGAGTGTCCGTGTGGGTTATGTACACACCCTTGCATGGATGGAGGGCACCATGTGCACGTGTGGGTTTGCACCTTTGTATATGTATGTCAGTGTGCAGGCAGGTGTCTGCATCTCTGTTCTGTGTACCGAGTGTGCTCGACCCTCATGTGCACGCGCGTTCACCGGTGTGTGCCCTTCTGTGTGCACGTGAGCGTGTGCACGCTCCACCCAATCACGTGATGCAGCTGCCTCAGCTTGAGCTCCCCCAGCCTAGGAGTCGTGGGGAGCACGACCCCTTGCAGACAAGGGTCCAGGCGGACTGTCCACATGTGCCCGCGTGCCCGAGCTGGGTTCTGAGGAACATAAATGTTTGATGGGAGGCGGGGCTGACCGCAGTTACCCCCCAACCTGCGCAGCCATAGGGTTTAGGGTTACAGCCTGACCTGGGGCACAGGCCTGCTGGAAGGGGCTGCAGGTGTGTCTCCATCCCGGTTTCTCTTAGCTTCTGCTTGAAATAATCCCCCTTCCCTGCCTTTCAAGGTCACAGTGTGCCCTCTGCCCTGGGCTCCACAGTTTGTACTGGGGCTTCTGGTGGCACTTTAGTTCCTCTCTGTGGCTCTGTAGTTTTCTCTATCCTGTGCCTGTGCCTGGGGGTGGCAGGGGACCCCCCATACTAGCCCGCACCCCACATTCCCAGATGGCGTCGGCCACAGACTCGCGATATGGACAAAAGGAGTCCTCGGACCAGAATTTCGACTACATGTTCAAGATCCTCATCATTGGTAACAGCAGTGTGGGCAAGACATCCTTCCTCTTCCGCTATGCAGACGACTCCTTCACACCAGCCTTTGTCAGCACTGTGGGCATAGACTTCAAGGTCAAGACTATCTACCGCAATGACAAGAGGATCAAGCTGCAGATCTGGGTGGGTCCAGCTGGGGGGCTCCTGGCTCCATCACTCCCCCTTCCCAAAAAGCAGCCCCAGCCTTGCCTATCTCTTTCATTCATTCACACAACTGGGCATTTATCATATGCCTACTGTGTACTAAAGGCACAGAAGAGAGAGCCCCTCCTCCTCTATTGGAGCTTAATTGGTGCTCTCCAGGGCTGGGGGATGAGCCAGTGCTGGGTTCTTCCCTACACTTAATATCTGTAAGAACATCAGTGGGCTTAGTGCCTCAGTTTCCCATCTGCAAATTCTTCCAAGTAAGTCTGAGGTTTCACCAGATGTTGGCCTCCAACCTCATTGCCTGGGAAAGACACCTCCCCAGGGTCACTTGGCTGCCTCCCACGACTCCATGGAGGCCAGGAGGAGCCTCTGTGGACTCTCACCTCACACAGGGTAAACACCAAACCCCTGCCCTGGCCTAGGAGACCCTGTCTGGTCTTTCCCTATGATACCTCCACCCTATTCTGTCTCTCCATCGCTGCCTCTGCCTCCTCATTGTCCCTCAAACATACCCACAGTTCCATGTCAGCATCTTTGGCCTGGCTGTGCCCTCTCACTTCCTTCAGGTTTCTGAACCCTGCCTCAGCCCACACTGCCCATCCATCAGGCTTTATTTTCCTCCATCCTTATAGCACTCTGACATAGGATACGTTTTCTTCCTTTTCATGTGTTTATTGTCTTTTTCCTACATTGAGTTGGCATTTCCACAAGGGCAGTGACTTTTGTTTACTTTGTTTACAGCTGTGTCCCCAGTGCCCATTGTGGTGTATGGCACAGGGCAGTGCCCTGTACACGTGTACTGATGAATGAGGGAGCAATTCTGCACGTACTGGACTCTGTAAGATGATTGAGCACCACATTTTTGGTGTAGGTGGCCAGCTGGCTCTCCCTGGCCCCCCTGTGCCTCTGGGCAAGCTCCTAATCCTCTCTGGGTCTTGAGGGAGTTGGACTGGACTGTCTCAGAGCTCATTTCCACTGAAGAACTTACATGTGGGTAGTCTCTGATCCCGTCTCTTCTTCCCCAGGACACAGCAGGGCAAGAGCGGTACCGAACCATTACCACAGCCTATTATAGGGGTGCCATGGGCTTCATCCTCATGTATGACATCACCAATGAGGAGTCCTTCAATGCTGTGCAGGATTGGTAAGCACCCCCTCACCCCCTCTCAGACTGTCTTCTGAGATGGGTTCGGTGCAAAGCCAGGGGTGTAGGCTGATGAGGGAGCCCCAGCCCCCTGGCAGATATATAAATAACAATATTGGAGTCCCAGACCTGCTGTCAATCTATAATCATTAAAACATAGCATCACTGGCTCAAAATAATGGGAAAAAAGAGATTTCAGGGAGAAAAATGAAACTGAACATACAGAAGAAAAATCTGAGGTGGGGGAACAGAAAATATAAGGACAGTTTACACAGGTTAAAAGACATAAATATTTACATTTCTGCCCAGAAGTAATGATAAATTTTAAGAAAATTTCTACTTTTGTTGAGGGAGAAATCTCTCTGGAGGCAGGGATCTGGGAAGGGTGGAAGAGGCTGCTTGAAAAAGAGATTTTGAAGATCAGGGAACTGCTGAAGCAGACACCCAGACACAGCAGAGTGTTTCTGGCAGGACAAAGGCTGGAGGAGAAACTGAACCTGCCAGGTTCAAGGAATAATGGGAAGCTGGGGGCTGGAGGTGGGTGAGCAGTAAAGTTCAGATCCTCCAAGCCCTCACCTGCCTATTACCCTCTCCTCCAGGTCAACCCAGATCAAGACCTACTCATGGGATAACGCCCAGGTGCTGCTGGTGGGGAACAAGTGTGACATGGAGGATGAGCGGGTGGTGTCCTCAGAGCGTGGTCGTCAGCTGGCGGACCACCTTGGTGAGTGCCCAAAGGAGCTGGACACCTACAGGCTAAAAGAGGGACATAGAGGCCCTGAGAGGGGAGGGGACACACCCAAAGTCTCACATCAAAGCCAGAATGAGGTCTGGATTCAAGTCCAGACAATGCTTTCTGCAAACTGGCTTTGACCCAGGAGCCATGTGAGGTTGATCTTTTTAAAAAAAATTTTTCTTTATTTATTTTTAGAGAGAGAGGGGAACGAGAGGGAGAGAGAGAAACATCGATGAGAGAGAACATCGATTGGCCACCTCCTACATGCCCCCTGACTGGGGATTTGGCCCACAACCTGGGCATGTGTCCTGACTGGGAATCTAACCGGCTACCTCTTGGTGCATGGGTCGACACTCAACCAAACCGGCTGGGTGTGATGTTGATCCCAATCTATAGTTCACTATGCAGGCAGTTACTGATTCCTTCTGCCACTCTCACTGCCCAGCCTCATGCTGGGTGTTGCCGGGCCCCCAAGAGGCCTCCAGCTTTGTGGGATAGAAGGCTGGTGAAGTCCAGTGGGGACTGTCTCCAAGAAGACTTTGTGGAGTGGGAACATTGTACTTGGTACTTGAAGAAAGGGTGGTCCTTCAGGCATGCAACTCAGGCTAAGGCCAGAGGTCGGAAAGATCCGTGCATTTTGGCAAATCCTTTACACAGCAGCAACATAGGGGTAATTGGGATGAAATGTGGCCAGTCGCACAGGACCTGACTACATGCTGAAGAGCTGGGACTCTTCCAAGGGCAATAGGGAACGAGAGTGTGAGCAGGAGCCAGCATGGCTGGATTTGAATGTCAGATGCTACCAGGAACAGTGTATGGGACTAGGTTGGGTGGCAGGAGCAGGGGAGTGGGTCTTACCAGGGCCTTGGGGACAATGAGAAGGGGACAGTATTTTGTGATTTTTAAAAAATGATTGGTTTTGGGGATAGAGAAACGCTGCTCTATTGTTCCATTGATTTATGCATTCATTGGTTGTTTCTGGTATGTGCGCTGACTGGGGATCAAACCCACAATCTTGGCATACCGGGACAACACTCTAACCAACTGAGCTAACAGGCCAAGGCTAAGAAGGGGACTATTTTAGGGTGAAGAAAGGAGTGCAGGAAATACAGGGCTGACCCAGTTCAGTGTTACTGTCCCATGGGACTTGCCAATGCCATTATGGTGCGGTTGGCACTAGAAACCTCCACCTATTTCTGACCTCAGAGAAATGTCTTTGGGGGTGGAGGGCCCAGGGTTTACCCCTTCCTTCCCTGACCACAGGGTTTGAGTTCTTTGAGGCAAGTGCCAAGGACAACATTAATGTCAAGCAAACCTTTGAGCGCCTGGTAGATGTCATCTGTGAGAAGATGTCCGAGTCACTGGACACAGCTGACCCTGCTGTCACAGGTGCCAAGCAGGGCCCACAGCTCACGGACCAGCAGGCGCCCCCGCACCAGGATTGCGCTTGCTGAGAGCTGGCCCACCCATCCCTTCCCTGCCCTTCCACCCCACCACCAGGCCCCTCCTGGCCATGGGCATAAGACCCCTGCCCCGACCTAGCCCTAGCCTGTCACCCTTATTTATTATTGTAGCTATTTATTTATTTATTTATTGGAGATATCCCCTGGGGACTTGGCGCCACCCCCTCTTCACCCCGCCCTGTACATACAGGCCTGTCTCTGCTCTGCCGTGGCGTGTTGTTGCCCCGCGAACTCACCACTCACCCTCTTCTCCAGACCCCACCTTTTTAAAACTTCATCCATCAAATAGTTCTTGGTTTTGAAGAGGGGGCCAGATGATACCTGAGGGCAGGGTGACCAGGTGATGGAAGGTAGCTAGGCCTGCCAGTCTCTTGGCTGTGACACAGTGGGCCGAGGCCACAATGGAATCTCAGCATGGACCATTGGTGGGTCAGAGCCCATCAATGGCCCACCAGGCTCCTGGCCCCCAAGTTTTACCTTTTTTTAAAATGGGGCTGCTGTGGTTACTCACCACCCTGGGAATACCTCCCATAGACCTATATGATGTCATGAGTGTCAAATGTGCCCCCTGTCCCCCAGGAGATGTCATAACAACACTACACACACCTAATAAAATGAATGGACGATGCTGTGTCTATGAGTGCTGCCTGCTAGTGTTGGCTATGGTCATCAATAACATTTTTCAATAACAGAATTTAATGAAGTTTCCACAGCCCACGACCAGAATATGACACTGGTACTGCCTGGCTCTGTCTAAGGCTCCAGATCATGGGGGCCAGCTCCAGGCTAGGTCCTGCTCAGAGTGGACAGGCAATGTCCCCACCTTTGTTCCAGGGCTCAGAGCCAGCCCACAGTAGTGTTGAGGGTTTGGGGCTTGGTACTGACTAGGTAGCTGGGGCCCAGTGCTGGGGATGGGACATCCTAGTCAGAGGCTCCCAGTGAGAAGACCTGGGGAGTGACTGTCCATCTTCATGGTTGTATTCCAGATGGGGAAGCTAAGGCCTGGTAGTAGGTTTGGAAGGGGCAGCCCAGCCAGATGCCCAGGAATGGGGATGGGACTGGAACAGGACCCTACCCTGTTTTGGGCCCATTTCCCTTCCCACCCAGGTGGATGGTCAGCTGGAAGTCAGTTTTGCCTTCTCTGGCATCCAGTTGAGGGGGTGGGGCAACTCATTCTACACAGAGTGTGTCAGGGGGCCTGGGATTTGTCCACACAAGATGGTCTAGTCATATACTATATTCATCCCTTCCTTCAGGCTCCTCACTAAGCCCTCCACTTGTCTGGGGGCTGGGGTCAGCCTCGCTGAAAAGATGTGGCAGGGACCTGGCCAAGGTCCTGTTAGACAGCTGAGAGGGGCTCCGTCTTCACCCTGCTGTTGATCAGCTCCCTACCCACCGACCTTGGGGTGCAGACTGTCAAAGGCACAGGAGGCCCTCACCCTGGAGAGGAGCTGTACTGCCTTTTGCGTCTCACATGTGTGGCCCCTGAGGAGTTTCCTGGGTGCCTGGTCTGTCCACTGTGCTCACCCGGTACTTCAGGTAGGAGAGGTATGTGTCCCAGCCCAGTGTCAGGCCATTGATGTAAGTGACTCGGAACTGGGGGGGCACAAAGAGGAAGTTCACCAGCTGCGCAGCAGGCCACACACACCAATCAGCCTGTTGGGAGGGACAGTGTGGTAAAGGGTTGGGGCCAGGAATCTGTGAGAAGAAGGAGGATGAATGGGGTGGGTGGGCCTGGGATGACATGCTTACCTTGTAAAATTCCCAGAACTTGTCCCGAAGCTCCTGGCAGCTCTCTTCCAGGGACTGGCCCTCTAGGCTGCCAAGACCTGGGGAGGAGATGGGAGTGTCAGAGGCTGGAGAGTCCCAAAGATGGAGCCAGCGGGGCAGGATTCCCCGGGGGACAGAGTATCCCAGGCAGAGGGACCTGATATTTAAAGGTTGTGCAGTAGGATGGTAGGTGTGGGGAAACAACACAGATCAACTAGGTCACAGTGAGGGAGCCAGGTCCATCTGAAGGATGGAGACACACCCTTTCTGTTGCTGAGGCTGTTTTATTACCTGTCCTTCACAAATAAGGAAACTAAGCCTGGGAGGGAGGGAATAGGTGAGGACTTTCCTCCAAGAGGCAAGGGCTGGGGTGACTGCACCCCATCAAACTGCAGTCTCAGCACCTCTTCCTCTGGGCTGTTCCTCTGCCTGCTGATCCTTCAAGTCTCAGCTGAGTTCCTCCCCTTGGGGAACTCCTTCCACACCCCTACACCTCAAGGGGCAGCCCCATCAGACACTGTCCTCATCTCTCCTACATTTAGTACCATTGTCTGTGATTCTACCATTCACACCTGCCCCTACTAGATCTGTTCTATCCCCACTGTGACCCAGCTTCCAGTCCAGGACCACCCACACAGGAGGTGTGTCAGAAATGTACCTCGGCATCCTTCTTAACACAAGGCTGACTCTGCCCCTCTTGACCTATGAGGGTTTTCAAAGTTCAAGCTCATGGGGCTCCTTACCCAAGAAGTACCAGACACCCAGCATGGGAGAGGCCACCAACTGGTCGACGAGAACCTTCCTGAGGATGTTTGGAAGCCCACGGAGGCCGGACGCAGGGAGCAGGCGGTCTAGCCAGAGGTACCAGTAGTGTAGGAAGGGGCCCATGCTGCAGCCCACAGCAAACATGCTCACTGTGGGCAGACCAACAGTCAGGGGGGCCATATCAATCCCTTAAACCCCCCAATCCACTCTCTCCCAGGGTAAACCGAATGCCCTCTCAGAGCCCACCCAGGTATTCTTCCATTATCAGCCCCACTGCCATACACCATTCCAGGGGCTGCTTTTACATCTCAACTCATCCATTCAGCACCCTGCGAGGGGATTCTACCATCGCCCCTATTTCCAGAGAAGACAACCGAAGCACAGCAGGTAGGGAACTCTGGGGCCAGGGTGCAATCCCAGGCTGACGGGGTCCAGACACCATGTGCCCTTGACTACCCTGGGTGCAGCTTCCCAGGCTGAGTGCTCAATCCCTCAATGTAAGAGGGAGAAAAGCGGACGAGGGGGTGGGAAGGCACAGAAATCCCAGGTGTGAGAGAGGACGGAAACCCAGGTTAGGAGGGGGCGGAGACCCCGCAAATGGGAGGAAACTGAGACTGGGGAAGGGGTGGGGCAGAGACCTGGGTGGGAGGAAACCGAGAACCCCGAGTGGGGGGGGGGGGAGACCCGGGTAGGGCCTGTCAGGTTCTAGGAGAACAAGGGTTCTGTCGGGGGCTTGGACCACGGATTGGGGGTACAGGAGTTTTCAAATCTGAGGTCGGAGTCAAAGGTTCCCCGGAATCAAGGGCCAGCCCGGCCTCCTCACCTGAGCGCCGTGGGTCGAACTTCTGGCTGGGCCGGGAGCGGATCTCCCAGGACTGGCGCGCGCCGTCCCCAGCCGCCATGAGAACGCCACAACCCAGCGTGTTGGTAACGAGCAGCGCACGGCCTTGGAACATGGGCTGCCCGGCTGCCCACAGACCGCGCAGCCAGCGCCAACCACCCGACGCCATCGCGTGCGGGTATCCAGGAACCGGGCCACTCTGCCAGTGCAGACCAACCGTGCGTCCCGGCTGCGCCCAGGATGCCCAACAGTGGGCCAGGCGATGACCGCTTGGCACTCCACTTTGCCCGCCCCGAGAGATCTTATCCAATAAAAGACCAGCATCCCATCCCTTGGCCAATCGCTGAACAAAATCACGCATAGCCTTTTGGACCAATTACAAGTAAGCGTCGCACCACAACACGCATGTCAATTGCGGACGTCTCACTCGCGTTTCCTCGCCCCTTTCTGCACTGGCCTATGGGTAACCGTTGTCAGACTTTTACTTACAGCTCAGTACTGCACTGACCAATTTCAGACCACTGTTACGTCTGTTGTCCCACCTCCTGCGTTGAGATGGCCAATCTGACAGTTATCACGCTCTATGATCTAATAACCTTGCAGATTTCCAGATTCATGTGAAATTCCTTAGAGAAAATTCAGACCTTTGGCCGTGTCAGCTACTTGGGCTGAAGTCTAACCCGACAGAGACTCACGGTATTGGGGGCGGGGATACAGTTCCGCCGCAGCCCAATGGGAGCCAGGTCCAGAAATTGACCTTGGTCTTGACTTTCGCTGGGCATCTGACCTTAGTTACAGAGTAATAAAAGTGTTAGGCACTTTTTGGTGCACATTACGTGCATTAACTAATTTCGCAGCAACTCTGTTGCTGCACAAATAATTATATCCCCATGTTACTAGAAGGGAAAATGTGAGTTTCAATGGAAACCTATGTGTTACCTACAGGAATAGGGTGTTGCAAACTACAGCCCGTGGGCCAAATCCTGTTACTGTCTTTTTTGTGAGGTCCACGAGACTCACGAATGTTTCTTGCATTTTTACAATGGTCAGAAAAATCAAAATAATATTCTGGGGCATGTGAAAATTATATTATATTCAAATTTGTGTCCTTAAATCTTTTTTGGAACACAGACATGCCCATGTTTCTGTGTTGTTTACTCTCACTACAATGAGGAGCTGCAACAGACTATGGCCTGCAAAAACGAAACTATTTATTATATGGCATTAAAAAAAAAAAATTGTGCCCTGGCTGTTTTGGCTTAGTGGGTGAAGCATCGGCTTGCAGACGGAAGAGTCCCGGGTTGGATTCCAGCCAAGGGCATGTATCTTGGTTGCAGTTGTCCTGGCCCTGGTTGAGGTCGTGGGGGAGGCAACCAATCTATGTGTCCCTCTCACGTGGATGTTTCTCTTTCTCTTTCTCTGCCCCCCTCCCACTCTGTCTGAAGATAAATGTAAAAATATCCTTGGGTGAGGATTAAAAAAAAAAAAAAAAAACTTAAAAAAAAAAAATGGCCCTGTATTACAGGACACCCTTCCGGGTATTCTGATTCTGTGGAAACTTTTTATAAACTTTGTAGTTATAACTGATACCAGCAAAAAATAATTTTTACCTATGGATATGCAAATGAATTCAGCTAGGTGGAAAGACATTCTCCCCCAATTATTTTTGCCTTGCTTTGCATATTCATTTTAATATTCCTCATTTGTCTGTTCTTTGGACTGCAGACGACGCTCTAACCGCTGAGCCAAACCGGCCAGGGCCATTTGTCTGTTCTTTGGATCTCCTTTAACATGGTGTTAACAGCTGACCAGTTCTTCTCATTAATAACAAGTTAACAATAATTTTTTTTATCCTCACTCGAGGACATTTTTACATTTATCTTCAGATAGAGCAGGAGGAAGAGAGGGAGGAAGAGAGAGAAGCAGCGACGTGAGAGAGACACATCGACTGGTTGCCACCCACATGACCCCAACCGGGGCTGGGGACAAACTGCAACCGAGGTACGCACCCTTAGCAGCAACCGAACCCAGGACTCTTCGGTCCGCAAGCCGACGCTCTAACCGCTGAGCCAAACTGGCAAGGAGAACAATAATTTTTAACATTTGCTCATTTTTAAAAAATATATATTTATTTATTTAACGTTTTGTTTTTTTAATCCTCACCCAAGGACATTTTTCCATTTTTTGTTCAGATAGAGTGGGAGGGAGAGAGAGAGAGAGAAACATTGACATGAAAGGGCCACATTGAGTGGTTGCCACCCGCACGACCCAACCAGGGCAGGGAACAAACTGCAACCGAGGTACATGCCCTTAGCGGGAACTGAACCTGGGTCTCTGCATCGCAGGCTGAAGCTCTCACTGCTGAGCCAAACCGGCCAGGGCTTTTTTTTTTTTTTTTTAATTATTTTTAGAGAGGGTGGAAGGGAGGGAGAGAGGTGAGAGATTTGTTGCCTCCAGCTCACATGGCCTTGACCAGAATTAAATCCTCCACTATTCAGTTTGTGGGGTGATGCTCTAATCGCTGAGCCAAACCAGCTAGGGCAATCTGTGCTCATTTTAACATCTGTGTGAGATGTCGTGATTTTATCTTTTTTCGGAAAATTAGCCTTCAGCCCTTCCTATTGCTGTCAAGTACCTCAGCCTGGTATTCCAGATTTCATTTATTTATTTATTTTAATCCTCACTCGAGGATATTTTTCCATTTATTTTCAGATAGAGTGGGAGAGAGGGGTAGAGAGAGAGAGAGAGAAAAACACCTATGTGAGACAGACATACTGATTGGTTGCCTCCCACACAACCCAGACCAGGGCCAGGGACGAACTGCAACCAAGGTATCTGCCCTTGATGAGAATTGAACCCGAAGACTCATTGGTCTGTGGGCTGACGCTCTAACCGCTGAGCCAAACTGGTCAGGACAGGTATTCCAGACATTAGATTTTACTGCATCTTGGTGACCATCTTCCAACATGATCGAAAAGGTCAAATTATGCTTCACTAACAGAGTCAGCTAAACTTTAACAATCACATTCAAGAAACCAAGTTTCTCTTTTGGGAAATGATGTTGACAAAATCTTCACAGGAAAGCTGGTTTTTATCTGCCTTACAGGTGGATCCTGGCCCACCAAGATCCTTGTAACATTTGGGGACGTCAAGGTTAGAGCATCATCCCGATATGCCAAGGTTGCGGGTTCAATCCTCAGTCAGGGCACATGTAAGAATCAACCAATGAATGCATAAATAAATGGAACAACAAATAGATGTCTCTCTCTCTCTAAACAATGAAATAAAATAATTCTTTTTTTTTTCAATCCTCACCTGAGGATATTTTTCCATTTATCTTCAGATAGAGTGTGAGGAAGAGAGAGAGAAAAATATTGATGTGAAAGAGACACATCGGATGGTTGCCTCCTGCAAGACCCTGACCAGGGCCACGAACGAACTGCAACTGAGGTACATGCTCTTGGCCGGAATCGAACCCGTGACTCTGGTCTATGGGCTGATGCTCTAACCACTGAACCAAACTGACCAAGGCATAAGATAATTCTTTTTAAAAAAGAAGAATTAATTTGCCAGGAGACAGAGATACTGCAGGTGAAACCAGGTAGAATTTCTCACCTTTAGTTAGCCAATAACAGAAGCTTTTCTTTTCTTTTTTATATGTTTTTATTGATTTTTTTAGAGAGAGAGGGAAAGAAAGAGAAACATTGATCGGCTGCCTCCTGCACGCCCCCTACTGGGGATCAAGCCTGCAACCTGGACACGTGTCCTGACTGGGAATCCAACCTGGACCTCTTAGTCCATGGAACAAAGCTCAATCCACTGAACCATACCGGCCGGCTTCTTTATTTTTTTAATCCTCACCTGAGGATATTTTTCCCATTGATTTTTTTTTTTTAGAGTGGGAGGGAGGGAGAGAAGTAAAGAGACATCGATGAGAGGGAGACACATCGACTATTTGCCTCCCACTCAACCCTGACTGGGCCCGGGGATCAAACCCACAATTGAGATATGTGCCCTTGACCAGGAATCAAATCTGAGACTCTGGTCTGTGGCCCAATGCTCTAACCATTTAGCCAAGCCAACCAGGGCAATAGAGGCTTTTCAAAGTCCAACCTGAGATTCCTTATGGAAACTTCCAGCAAAGCAAACTAAATGTCTGCTGCACCCGTGTAAGTTATCAGGGTAAATATAATTAGACTTTCCAAGGAAGTTCTTTCTTTGAGATTCTTTTTTTAAAAAGGGTACAACACAAATATTAGTTGACTATTAAAAAAAGAAAAGGAAATCCTGCTATTTGTGACAATATGGAGGAACCTGGAGGACACTATGCTGAGTGAAATAAGTCAGATAGAGAAGAACAAATATTGTATGATCTTACTTATATGTGGAATCTAAAAAAGTACAACTCATAGAAACAAAAGAACAGCAGTTGGCACGGGCTGGGGTGGGTGGATGGGGGAAATGGAGGGATGGTGTCATAACATGTAGAAGCGTTTATTAAACTACTTTCAACGCAGCACCATTCTCAGTGGGGTAAACTTCTTGATCTTGGGACAAAATATTGAGTCTGAACTTCATGGAATGTGTAAGTTATCTGGATGATGAGAGCCATAGCTGCTGAGTCAAGGATCAGGAAAATGAAGGCAGGTTGGAGCTCATTCCTCCTCCATCAGCTCCCTCCAAGGGCAGTGGCTATCACTTGAGGCAGACATCCCTGTAGGAGCTGGCCATGAATGGGCAGACATCTGGTTTCTTACCCTGGAGGAGACGGTCATGATTTGGGAGCCTGAAAGAGACCCTAACCCCACCCACTAAATCCCTCTGTTGCCTCTCTGGCTTACCTGGTACAACTGGCACACGACGGATAGAAGCTGGCTCATGTCTTCCAAGGGTTTCTGCACAAAGAAAGACAGGAGGTCACAAGTGCCACCTGCCCTGACCAACTCATGCCAGGCCCAGAAGGGGCTGCAAATGGCCCTAAATCTGGTCCCTGTCTCTTGCCTTGCAGATCGGTGGGTACATCCATCACCCTGGTCCCTGCCTGGGGGCCAACATGAGAGCTACAAGTGTTCTTACCCCATTGACGACGACCCAAGGCACATACTGGTGGGGTGGCTCCAGAGCATCTGTAAGTTGGGCGTTCATGTGCAAGAGCTGTGTGCCACGGTCCCCCATTGCACACTCCATGATGGCGTCTGGGGACACCTTTGGTGCATAGATCTGCAGGCACTGAGGGCAGAGGAGGGCCAGTGAGCCTCAGTTTTCTCCTTGTTATCTCCCCAACAGTCTGTCCATTGGCACTCCAAGCCAAGTTTCTGTTGCCTCACTAGCAACAGGGGACAGTTGGGTCCACAGCAATGTAACAATGTGTGTAAACAGCAGGTGCTTCATACATGCCTGATTGGAAGCACCTAAGGTAGGTACTCAGGCTGCTCCTGAGTCCTTTATGACCAGGCCTATAGTCCCTGACCCCTACATTTTCCTTAAAGCTTTCATCTGTGCTGTTTCCTCTAACAGGAACACCCATCCTCCAGCTTCCTCAGCATCTCCTCAGGACTTCCTCCTTCTCTGTACTCTGCTAGCCCCACCATGGTTCTGCAGGGCTGGGGTGTCTCAGGGTGAGGCCTCCTGGGTGGCCTGAATGTTTGATTAATGAATAAATGATCAGGGCAGATGAGTCATTCCTTTGGGAGTTCTTTTTCATAATCCTCCAGGGAGGTGGGTGAACCTGTCTTGTCATCCCCATACCCCATAGGAGGATCATCATCTGTGTCCCCGTACATTCCTGTTCATGGAAGCCCAGCTCAGACTCCTCCTAGAGAAAGCACTTCCTGATCTACCCATGCCCCTAGATCTTCCTTCCCTTGATTCAGAGATTGAGGTTTAGAAAGGTAAGTGTTCTTTCCTGGGCCTACACAGAGAGTAGTAGTCAGGGTCAGGATTTGAACCCGAGTCTGAGTGAAGGGAAGGCCAGGGTCCCCCAACCCGGGACCAAGTAAAGGGTGTTACTCACTGGCTTCAGATTGTTCTCCATGTCATCCATTTCCTCTAAGCAGACAATGGTTAGGAAGGCTAAATTCCACTCTAGCTGGTCCAACAGGCAGGCCTAGGGGTTAGGGTGGGGGATGGGCAGGCAGAGGCATGAGGGGGGCCCAGAGCATGCCAAGACCACTTCGGTAATAATCATAAAAGTCTACTAATGAAGTAATGAATAAAGTTGTGATCAAATGGAGGCACATCAGCATGCGAGAGAGCTGGTTCCAATCCCCTCTGAGCCTGGATTTCACTTTCATTACCACTCGCAGACTCCTGGGCCTCTGTGCCCACCCACATGGGACTCTGGGGGCTGCTCACCTCCACCTTGTTAAACTTGCACTCCTCCTCCCCGTGCTGGCATTCAAACTCCCACTTGCCACTGACATTCTGCTCCTGCAAGGCAGTGGGGTTAATAGTGGCTGGCCCGTCAGGTGCCCTCCAACCCTGACCACAGTTTCCCCAGCAACCATGTACCTTGGCGTTTCCATAGGGCACCAGCGTGACATTGAGGATCTCCAGGACCATCAGCCACGTTGGGAACAGCTCTCGAACCAGGAACCCTCGGCAGCCAGGGCACAGAGACTCATAGTATAAGCTCACGTTGACAGGTGGTGCATGGGACTTTCCAAGGGGCACTTGTGGGCACAGGTTACCAGCCTGTGTGGGAGAAAGGGGTGTGAAGCAAGTGTAGCCCTGCTTGGTTCTCTTGCAGAAAGGTAAATGTAAATAGTAAATGTTCCATCTGGAATGCACTCCTGACTCTGGAATACATCCCTAAATCTGTTTGACTGCAAAACGGATGGGACAGACTTGTATACAGTAGTCACTTAATTCATGCACAGCTCTTGCTTTCTTCTGAGTGAGGTGAAACTTCTGGCCCAGGGGAACTTAGGCAGTAAGAACTCAAGGCAAGCACATTTCTGGTCCCTGACCTCAATCCTGCCTTCCTGGACATGCATACCACAGGAGACTAATGGATGCTCATTTGTTGCCACTTAATGCCCAGAGCCTTGGCCCTACACCTGCTCTGACTCTTCTTCCTCTGGAGGGGCCTACTGAACCCCTCCCAAGTCCACTGCGGAGGTGGCACCTAATAAGTGCTGACTTCCGGCTTCAGCTGAGGGGTATCAGGCACCCAGGTTTGTGAGCAATTTACTCAGCCTCCCGGGCATGTGTTTGCTCAGCACCAGAAATAAGCGGAGCTCTTCTCTGGCAGAAGGGCATCCCTACGGGTGCCGAAGGCAGACTTCTCTGGGCTTCCCCTGGCCTCCCAGAGGAGCTCCGGATTCCACCTTAGACGGACACAGTAGGTGCTCGATGCACCCTCTGGCGGGGACACGGAGCCTGGGATTAAATGGGATTTCCGGCACTGATGGGGTGTGTCCCTTCCAGACCCTGGGCTACTCGGTCAGGTCAACGGGAGGGAACGAACCGCCTGCCCGGCCTGGGCGCTGGTCCCCTCCAGCCCTCCTGCCGTGTCGCCGTCCTTACCTCGCAGGGGGCTGCCCGCTCCGGGAGTGTGTCCAGTGGAGACGCGCGCGCCGCCGCGGGGACCTGGAGCAGCAGCACCGGCAGGAACGGCAGGAGTGGCGACCAGGCCATCACAACGCGGGCACAGGCGCTGTGGCGGGAGCAGCGCCCAGGGGAAGGAGCAGCCTTTAACCCGGCGGTTGCCCTGCCCCTAGACCGGACCCGCCTCCCAGGACCCACGCCTTGTGGGGCGGGGTGTCGTCTCTGGGTGTCTGCATTTCTCTCTCAAGAGTCTCCCTTTCCAACCCGCCCCTGCCCCCACCCCTGCCAGGTGTTAGGACAGCAGTCACGTGGCCATCCGCTGCTCAGCGGCTCACCTCACCCCCACCCAGTCCCGGCAATCAGCCTACCCCAGCCAAGTGAAGCCGGGGCCAAAGCTCCTGGAGCGGATGTGGGGTGGGGGCTTCAGAGACAGAGACACAGAGAGACCAAGGGAGACCGAAGGGTCTTCTCGCGCCGCAGATCCCTCTGGGTCAACCAGAGTGGTCAGCACCCTGCCCCTAGCCGGGGGACCCCTGTGCACTAACAGGGGTTGGGGTAGGGGTCGGGGAGAGGGTGGGCGCGGCCCCCTGCCTGGGAGTGGGCACTGGCTTCGCAGCCCGGGCCCCTTTCCCTAGCCTGGCCCAAGGCTCTGGTCTCTTCTAGCTCCACCCCTCACCCCTGCCCCCCTGTCCGGCTAAGCGGTGGATGCTGGTCCCGCAGGGTTGACTCAGACTTGTCCGCAGCCGGACCAGAAAGCAGAAGCCAGAGCAGCAGGGGCACTCACTTCTCTTGCCCCCACCCTTGACTGGGGGTGGGATGGGGTGGAGGGGAAGCTGGCATTCCTTCTTCCCAAAGTCAGGGGCTGGGTGGTAGTGGTGCATCCTGGCCCTCAGCAAGCTCCCAGTGGGGAGAGAGAAACGGGGGTTGGAGCAGTAATTTCCGGAAGCCTGTACTATGTCCATGGGGTGAGGGTTGAGGGTGGTCCTGTAGGATCTAAGCCAGCAGGCAGCCAGATCCAGTTAGCCCCAGGACTGTGCTGGGCACCTCAAGTGATGGGGCCTGTTTCCTGGTCTCTAAAATGGGAGAAGAGGGAGGCTCGGGGCATAAAGTCACCATGGAGGGCTCGGAGGCAGTTACTCCAGCCTGCAGGTGGGGGTTGGGCAGCTGGGCTGTGACTGTGGGAGGGGTTGACACAGGACAGCAGTGCCTGCAGACAGAATAGCCCAGATGAAGGATTGGGGGGGGGGGGTATTGGGACAATGACTGAGATAGTCATTTTGCAGGGCCTCAAATTCCAGTGGAGACACAGAACCAGACCCCACAGGAGCAAATGCCCACACCGGGCCTGCCAAGTCCCCACAGCCTGTGTGTCCCCCACCAGTCTGGGGAAGCACCAGCCTGCACATATACACTCATAACATCAGGTTGGGAGCCAGGATGTGTCTGAAGTCTCCATGGCTGGATGATCCCCCCATACCATCCCTTTGGAATCTTAGCAAAACTCATTTCCTTCTTAAAGCCTCTGCAAGTCAAAGCAACACAGCTTTGGGAGCTAGTTGGGTGCTCTCCCTGTGCTAGGCAGGATGGGAGAAATAATGATAAATATAATTGCTACAATTCTGGATGGACTCATACACATAACCCCACCCATTTGATCACAGGACTCTCAGAGATATCCTGTTGGGGGCCCAGGTAGCAACTACTAACCTCACTTGGTAGGAGGAAACTAAGGATCAGAGGGAAGATGTTCCCAAAGAAACCCTGCAGGTGGTGGAATACAGGAACTGGCTAGAGGACTCCTGGGTTTTATCTTCCTCCATCCCCCATTCCAGGCTCACTCAACTGGTTGGGGTCAGGGGACTAAGATGACCTTTATCCCGAGTGCCCATGCAGTGGGTGAGGACCACATGGGAAAGTGGGCTGCAGTTAGGGGGTGTTTCCTTACTGGACACAGTAGGGACAGTGCCTGGGAAGGCTTGGGGGTTCAGTGGTCAGGCAATTCCTGTCCTTTGAACGCAGTGGGAGAACCAGGACCAGGTCGGTGCCCTGGGCTGCCCTAGGGTGTTGAGCCCCAAAAGGTACTCTATGGGAAGGGGAGGGAAGGGCAGAAGGCTCCCAGCCCTGGGGGTGGGGAGGACCAGGGGACAGGGACCTTAGAGATGGTGAACAGGAGTCTAGGTCAAAGATACTGAGGCTCACATGGAAGAACCCTTTGGGTGGCATGGTAGGGGTTAAGATTATTGACCCCACTTAGCAATGAGGAAGTTGCATATCAGAAGGCATGGCTGGTGGCTGAATGCTGGGACTCAAACCCAGGGGGGCCAGCCTGGGGACCAGCAAGGAGCTGGGCTGGGGTCCCCTGATAAGGCCAGAGCTCAGGGTTTGAACCTTTCTGCTGTGTGACCTTGGTCAGGTCTCTCAACTTCTCTGGATATAAAGAGCTAAACTGGGGGCAGGGGTTGTTAGCCCTCACTGGTAGCTTGAGTTAAATTCAAGTCCATTTCTGAGTGACCAGGTGAATGTCAGGGCCCCTAGCACACAGTGGCCACGGAGAAGCCCTGCTGACAAGAAGCATCCACTGAGTTCAATGTTTTATATCCACATTAGTATCAACGTACCATACAAAACCCATCTGCCAACCTTGCTGGGTAGGCATGAGGGGGTCCACGGCAGCAGAGGAAACGGGCTCTCGTCCCAAAAGAGGAGAGAAAATTGGCTTATAGTCAAGGAAACATAAAATCAGAACCCAACATGATCAAGGAGAAGCCTTGAAACTGCATCGAGTGGAGGTGCTGTGGGCAGTGGTGCATCTCGCTGGCCCAGCAGTACCAGTAGCAGCCTTAATTCCCGGGAGGCCTGGGGCCAGATAGGGTCAGTTCACGAGGTTATTTTTAATTTTTTCGTGTGTGTGTGTGTGTGGGGGGGGGAGCAAGGGGTTCTTGGCAGTAGCTCCATTGTGGGGATAACCAGTGGCAGGTTTCACTTCAGGGTTTGGAGGGGAAGTTGGGTCTGTGGGGCGGGACCCGCCCAGCCCCAAATGTCACAGCTGAGGTTCTTGGAAGAGGCCCAGTGAAGTTCCTTTCTGCTCTGACCCCAGGTCTATGGCTTAAAAACCAGGGCACCCACGCTGGAGCTGAGCACCCCAGGGGCCTTTGTAAACATGGCAGGTACAGGCAGTTGGGGATTGGGGGACCGTAGGGAACTTGGGGGGGGCTGCCAGAGTCTGGGGAGGGCAGTGCCCATGGGGAAAGGGGGCATAAGATAGAGGAGGTGTGCTCCTCTAACAGAGTCTTAGAGGTACAAAGAGGAAGAAAGAGAGGACAGAGAGATGGGGATAGAAACAATCACAGAGAGAGATATACTCAGAGAAAGCAAAAGAGAGATTGAGATAGAGAAGGAGTCACAAAGAAGAGAGATAAAAAAAAATGGAGTCCTGCTCTGTATGGGTCAGCGGGTTGCGGGTGGGGGCCCAGGGCCCGGGGCTCGCACTGGGTGTGCCAGGGTGACGGTGAGGGCGTCGTTGTGCTGCACTAGGGAGGTGTGCTGGTAATGCAGCACCAGTTCCTTCAGGGACCCATACAGGTTGTAGGGCTCTGCAAAACCCAAGCCAGTGGCCGTGCGGTAGATGACGCAGTGCTTCGTATCGCCGTCCACCCTGTGGTGTGGGCAAATGGGTGGTCAGGTGGGCACTTCACAGGCTTGCCCAGTCACTCCCTCAATTCAGACCTGACCTGGTCCAGACCCCTCCATCTCTGGACACTCTTAGCTTCCTCCCCTATGCCCAATAATCCCTTCTTCCTGAGGCAGCCTTGAGGATTTTCTTCCCAAGGCTTAGCACACAGTAGGTGCTCAATAAGAGCTCTTGAAAGGAACATGTAGCTCCTCCACCCCTATAGGCACTCACACCACAGAGCAGGCATAGCAGCCCCGCTGGCTGCTTTCACGGATGAGGAAGGTGCCATCCCGCTTGCCGTTCAGCATTTCCTCAGCCTGCGTGCGGTTGATCTTGCCCACGTACCAGGTGCGTTCCTCATGGTGGGGGAGGTCATCTTCATCCTCCATCAGTGCATACTGGCTGTGGGGTAGGCAGGGAGAGGCCTTGGTCACTTACCTGCTAGCTTCTGAGGTTTTCTTACCACCCGGACAATACTCCCTTCCTGTTGAACTCCTACTCATTCTGAAAAACTCATCCAAACTGGCCCTTCTTCTGCAAAGCCCTCCCAGTCCCCCTTCATGTGGTCACTCACTCTTCTGTCTCATTTTTGATCCCCAACCACTCGTTGATTTTCTTCTGCCGGGCACCTTTCTGGGTGAGCCATCTAGGAGGAAGAGGAAAGGTGGGTCATGCAGCAGAGGCAGGGCCAGCCCATAGGGTTCCAGTCTAGCTGGAGGCGAGTGCTGACCAAGGAGGGTGGGGTTTGGGTATAATGCCTCCAGTTGCCACAGGGGCCAGTTTGAAGGTGGGAGAGCCTGGCTGGCTCTGCCAGGAAACCCCCCATTTATTCTGCTTCTGCTAACACTTATGGAGCCTTCAGAATGCGCCACCCTGCAGGGTCTTATCACCACCAGAGGCTCAGTCTTAGGGACTGCACGCAACACTGTTGGCCTTCACACAGCGCAGTTATCTGTTCTGAGCTGCAGTTTCCCTAGATGGAAAGGGGGAAGTTACAAAAGACTCGGAGAGAACAAAATATGTGCATGGTTGCTCAGCATAGGGCCCTGCATGCAGCAGGTGCACATAAGCATATAAGGCCCAGGTGGGAAGAGCCCTTGCCAAGGTCCTCACGTTGGGACCGTAGGCATGTGCAGGGCACTCACACCAGGTACTGGTCTCGGATCTTGCGCAGCTGCATGAGGTCTGGTTTCAGGCTGTTCATGCGCTTATCGATCTCCCGGTTGTCCAAGGCCTGTGTTCGCAGTTCCTGTTCCAGCTTCGTGCGGCTCTCGTGGATCTCCGCAATGCGAGACTTGAGCCGCTCTGAATTCAGCAGAATCCTGGGGAAGGAGTGGCTCAGAGGCAAGGAATGGCTCCCAGCCTCTAAGCCTTGGCACATGCTGTTCCCTGATTTCTACTCTGGTGAACTCCTATTCAGCCTTAAAAGCTCATTTCAACTGACCCTCTGTTTCCTTTCTCTCCCCACTTGCACTACAGCATAGGGTGAGTTAGGGTAGGACAGAGGAGCTGGACTTACCTCTGCATCTCTTTCTCATTGCCCTCACGCCGGAAGCGCTCCAGATATTCCTTGCTGCACTTCTCTTGAGTCTGGCCCTGTTCTTCGAAGATCTTGATGGTTTCATTGAAGGCCTCGATTGCTGTGCGCTTCATCTGCAGTTCCTGGAGGTGGGGGTGACTCTTAGCATCTTCTGGGACTCCCCGCAAGTGCCTCATGAGGGTGATGGCAGATCCTAACTCTTTGCTCAAGCTGTTCCATCCACTGGACATGTCATTCCTCTAGCTCTTACTGTACCAAACGAACTCCTATTCAACCTTCAATACCTCATTCCCCAAACACACTCCTCCTTTATAACTTCCTTTGAGCGCCTTATAAACACCTGGATTTGTTAGCACTGCTGATAATTAATGATAAATCTAGTTGCTACAGTTCATGGAGCTCCTTCTCAGAGTAGATGCTGTACCAAGCACTTCCGGTGCACCAAGTGTTGACAGAACCTGCCAACAGCCTCCTATAAAGTTAGAACTATTAATGGGGAAACTAAGCCTCAGGGGGGCCCACATCATGTCTAAGGTCACGATGTTCCTAACACATCCCAGACCAGTGTCTTGTCCACTCAGAGACTGAACTGACCCATTAGTAAAAAGAGGACAGGAAAGAAATCCTTCAGGGATCACAGGGTAAACTAAGCCATTCCCAGCCTGAGAGGGGCATTTGATCTGAGTAAATTACATTTCAACTTGCCAAAGGAGTTCATCAATACAGTGCCAGAGTGAGAAAACTTCCCCTTCCCTGTTTTAGAAGATGCTGTCCTTTATTATTTATTTTTTTAAAGATGCTGTTTTTTTTTTCTTTCTTTCTTTCTTTTTATTGATTTTACAGAGAGAGGAAGGGAGAGGAAGAGAGACAGAAACATTGACGAGAGAGAACATCGATTGGCCACCTCCTGCATGTCCCACACTTGGGAATTTGGCTCACAACCTGGGCAAGTCCCCTGACTGGTAATTGAACTGGTGACCTCTTGGTGCATGGGTCAATGCTCAATCACTGAGCCACACCAGATGGGTGAAGATGCTGTTCTTTAATGTGACCTCCTGACTGACTGCCTCACCTCACATGAGATTATTGTCACCACTACGAATAACCTCTAGGTTGAAGGGGATGGAGAAGAAATTAAGACCCACAGTTCCAGTTTACAAATGGGGAAACTGAGGTCCTAAGAGACACGCAGGCCAACTACTAGAGGTCCTAGCTCAACTACTCCTGAGAGGTTGGTTGGTGTCATCTCATTTGTTCTTTTTTTTAACCACATACATTTACTTCTATGTTTTTAGGGTAGTCCCTGGTGCTAAGTGACTGTTTTGTGATCTGGAAGCAGTCGTCTGTCCCCATGGCCACCGTGTCTTCCCATGTGTGCAGGTCTGAGGTACCTGGGAGGTGCGTGTGTACTCCTCGTAGAGCTGGTCGTACTCGCGGCTCTTCTCCTGGTACTGCTGGTGGTAGACTTTGAGCTGGGCACCCACGGCCTCCACGCTATCTTCCTTGACAATCTGGTCCTGAGGACACCCGGCGTGATCAGTGAAACCACCTGGGAAATTGAGGCCTGGGGCCACCCTCTCTGGCTCCTGCCCAGGCTTCAGACCTGTTGGTACTTGGACACAGGGTACAGGAGCCGCGTGTCTAGTTTGGCATTGTACTGGGCCAGCGACTCGTGGCGGTAGTGGGTGATGAGGTCCACGACAGAGCAGAAGGTGAGTGGCTCTGAGAAGCCATAGTGCCCATCACGGTGGAAGACCTTAATTAGCTTGTTGTTCCCACCTTTCCTAGGAGTGGATAAGAGGAGGTGTCAGCGACCAGTGGGACCCCCAGCCTGACTTCCAGGCTTCCTGGCCCCGACACCACACACATCCTCCTCCCACCTCTCACCCCAGTCATCCCAAAAGGGGCAGGCCCCCACCTAAGGGTCAGGGTATACTCTCCCTGAATCTTGCTGGAGGCATCTCGGACCAGGAAGGTGCCATCAGGTGTGTCCCGGAGTTTGTCATTCACCTCCTCCCTGTGGGGACACCCAGGATTGGGGCCTCTCATTGGAGACCCTTGTCCTTCAGGCCCTGCCTACCACATGGCCCTACCCCACAACCCTACCTGGAGATGTCACCCCAATACCACTCAGCATCCTGAAGGGAGGGCAGATTCCCCCCATTAGCCAACCCCGCAGGGGCCGGCTTTGCCTTGGGTGGTTTAGGTGGCAGAGCTGGAGGACAGGAAAACAAACACAGTGAGCACCAACTCTATACTAGGGTCAGCTCCCACTGCAACCAAACCTGTTGATGCTTGCGGGGCTTAGAGTCAACACTCACGGCCCTCCAACAGTAAGAAAGGATAAGGATACAAGGGGAGGGTGTCACCTGGGGGTGTGACCTCCTGCTCCTCCAGGTGCTCCTGAAGCAACTTTTCCACCAGCAGAGTTGGGAAGTCAGGGTTAGGCTCAGTCCTAGGGGAGGGGAGTGCAGTGAGTACTGGGTAGGGGTATCTCCACACGGGTGTGCACAAGGCCCTGAATTGCTTGCACACCTGGGTGGGAGGGTACACATAAAAGCTGGGAAGCAGGACAGATGACACAGGCAGGTGTGGGAAGCCAACTGCTGCTTATATATGTTCAGTAAGCGCTCAATAAATGCTCATACAAGACCTGAACAAGAGTCCAGCACCTAGGATGGGGGTGCAGAAGCGAAGGTACAGGCACCACACAGATGCTTCTCCTCTGGTCTAGGCCTCAAGCCCTCTGGGGCGGGGGCTCTCCCCAAAGCCCAGGTACACCCCTGTTATTATCCTTCCTACCACCCACATGACAGCAGTTGTGGCCTGCTACACGACCCCCCCCCCACCCCCCCCCCGCAACACACACACACAAGCCTCTGTGCCTTCCCTTTATCTAAAATCCAGTCCCTTCCCAGGTCCCACTCCCATAGGCACCGGCTGCTCACCCGACAGGTGGGACCCCTGGTGGCGGCGAGGGAGGCTGCGCACGCAGCAGCAGCGGCCCAAAGGCAACGCCCAGGGCTCGCAAAGCGGGACCCAGGGCAGGGGCGCGCTGGGCCACCCGGCCCAGGTGCTGGAGCAGGAAGCGCAGCGTGAGCGCTTGGTGCAGTGACAGCGTTGGGGGCTCCAGAGCTGGCCCCACGGGCCCCACGGCCTCTGCGGACAGACAGCCAGGCAGGGTGAGCCAGGCTACCCCCCCCCCCCCCCCCCCCGCCGCCATGCCCAGTAGTCCCCACCAGGCGCACCTCGCAGGGCACGGCAGGCCTCGGCAGCGGCCTCCAGCGGCACGAGAGGCGCAGGCAGTGCCAGAAGGAAGCACTTGATGCCATCCGCCAGGGCTGCCGCATCCCACTGCTCTAGGTCGCTCAGGGACCAATCTGTGGGTGTAGGGGTGGCAGTGTGGGTGGGGCTGTTAGGGTCGACTCCCCGCCTCCCCCACCGGTTGAATGCCCCCCTCACCTGTGCACGGGGGTGGCAGCTCAGGCCTGTAAAGGGATTCACTGTCTAGTCCTGGAATGGGAGGAGCAAGACAGCTGTCAGTTGCTGCCCTGACCCCATATGGGGGCAGGGGTGGCTATTCACCTCCCGGAGATAAAAGCAGGGGGGAAGGGAAGGAGATGGCAGCAGGGGACTCAGCACATGCAATGGTGGGTCTGGTGTCTGGGTCCCATCTCCCCTGGGAGTCTTTCCTTCCCTAAACATGGAGACCCAGAGCATCTAGGCTCAGCCTTCTCCCATGCAGTGAACCCAGCAGCTCTGTTAAGGGATGAGATGCCCATCACCAGAGGTAAGCAAGCAGAATCCAGGGGTTGCAGCCAGGCCAAGGCTCACCTGTCCGCTCAATGGCCTCTACAAGCTTCACCAGCAGTGGGGGAGCCACATCAGGGGGGGAGAACTGCTCAGGCAGGTCAGGAAGTGTGAAACCTGGCAGGAGGGGACAGCAAGTTGACAGAGTCCCTGGAAGAACCCTCACCCTCCTTTTGGCCTGCTGAATCTCAGCTGGCGCAGCTCCAGGCAGGGCCTAGCTCAGGCAAAGACCTGGCATCTGGACCACCACCCTGGGCCCTATGGCTGGGGGTGGGAGGGCCAAGTTGGTGGGAAACAATTTTCTGGGTCAAGAGATCAATCATACAACTTCAGAGATCAGGTGTAGTAGGTTGATTAGTGTCCCCTCAAAATGATGTCCACATCCTAATCCCTGGTACCTGTGGCTATAACCTTATTTGGAAATAGGGTCTTTGCAGATATAATTAAGGGAAGGATTTTGAGATGAGATCATCTTGGGTTTAGAGCCCTAAATGCAATGACTGGTATCTGTAAGAGAAGCCATATGCCCTGGCCAGTGTGGCTCAGTTGGTTGGAGTGTAGACCAGAAGGTTGTGGGTTCGATCCCCAGTCAGGGTGTGTATGGGAGGCAACCAATCGATGTGTCTCTCTCCTTTCCTCCCTCTCTAAAATCCATTGGAAAAAGAAAAAAGAGAGAAATCATGTTATAACAGAGGCAGGCAGAGATGGGGGTGATATGGCCATAAACTAAGGATGCTTGGAGCCATCACAAGCTGTAAGAGGCAGAAAGGATCCTCCCCTAGACACTCTGGAGAGAGCATGGCCCTGCTGATACTTGATCTTGGACTTCTGGCCTCCAGAACCATTAGAAAATACACTTCTGTGGTTTGAAGCCACCTGGTTTGTGGAACTTACAGTGGCCCCAGGAAACTCTATAGCAGGTTTCTGCCCTTGCCACTTCGCAGCCTTGGGTACAGGAACAGCATTGTCTGAGCCTTAGTTTCCTCAACTGAGAAACTATCTCTTCCTTCTTAGTGGGAACAACAAAGTGGATGAGAAAGAATAAAAAGAAAACATCCCCACTTAGGTCAGAACATTACCCTCCAAAGACGTTCCTCTACTTTCAAAGTCATTTTGCCTTGAAAAAGTTATCTCCCCACTTTTTTTTTTTATCCTCACCCGAGGACATTTTTTCATTTTTTTGTTCACATAGTGTGGGAGAAAGAGAGAGGAAGAGAGAAAGAGAGAAAGATCGACATGAAAGGTACACATCGAGTGGCTGCCACCCACACGACCCAACCAGGGCTGGGGACAAACTGCAACCGAGATACGTGCCCTTAGTGGGAACCGAACCCGGGTCTCTCTGGACCGCAGGCCGACGCTCTAACCACTGAGAAAACCGGCCAGGGCATCTCCCCATTTTTTAAAAAGCTGAAAGCACTGCCAGAGGGTGCCAGGGGCCTCTGAGGCTCAGCCCCTTCAGGCTCTGAGCTTCCCAGGGGGCCCTTTGTGCTCAGCAGCTCTTCCTGCACAGTCACCATTTGATGGGGTTCTGGCCCTTGGCTGGATGCCCTGGCACACAACAGGAGCAAGCTGGGGCCTGCAGGGCCTCCCTGAGTGATGGGCCAGGTGGCGCCACAAGCTGGAGAAAGGCCCAGCTACAGTGAAAACGCCAAAAATATAAAAAAGTAAAAGAACAAGGGGACAGAAGGTGGGTGAAGCTCAGTTCTAAAACTTTACCCTGAAACTTGTCTGTGACCAGTTTGTGAAATGGGAAGGAGGTTCCATCAGAAAAGCTGTCACCCCATTTTATGGATCAGGACCTGAGGTTCAGAGAGGGAGCAACTTCACTGTGGTGAGGTACACAACCCAAGTGATACTGGGGTGCTGCACTCAGCACCCTGCATGCGGTGGACAGAGGAAACACAGGCAGCCGTAGTATGCTCCCCAGTGGTCTCAGGAACCCTGTAGGAGACCAGTCCTCCCCGTTTCCAAATGAGGAAACTGAGGTCTAGAGAGGCCTCTCCCCACCATGTCATCCATCCCTGGAAGATTTGGAGGGCGGGGCTGCCGCCCTGAGTGGGGATGTGTGTGGAGGCTGGACCTGAGCCAGGCAGAGGAGGGAGGTGGCTGTTACCAGGGAGAGAAGCAGATTCTGGCTGAGGGCCCGGATGGGGCCGCCTCCTGCTCTTCCAGGCCAACACAGGACGCAGGCCCAGGCCCCGGAGACACCAGATGCTGCGAGTCCCAAGCTAGCGCCACACTGCCCTGGTGTCCCCATTCCACCCCGTGGCATGGGACTCTGTAGGCATCAGTGTCCATCTGGCACAAACCAGACAGTTCATTGGTCAGGGCCATGGTGTGTCCCAGGACCTTAGCTTTAACTGGGTGGTCCTGAAAGAATGGTCTGACACCTTGCACCTCAGTCTCCCTATCTGTACATGGACCTCACTGGGCTGCTGTGAGGTCAGAGCAGACCATGCCAGGCACTCAGCACTCATCAATCTCTTCCCCACAACCTTGATTTCCCTAGTAGAACCCAACCCTCTGCCCAGCATACAGAAATTTCAATGTATACCCAGTGTCCTTGAACCCCTACTCCCAGCACACCCTCTGGAAGGGGGATGGCTGAGGGTCTTTGAGAAGGGTGTGGGGTTCTCATACTGCACCATGCTTGTGGCCTTGACTGAGCATCTCACCCTTTCTGGGTTTCATGGCTCCCTTCACTTTGGAAACCAGGTAAAATCAGGGTAACAAAGGGGGTGCCTCAAGGGACCCTGGTTGCAAACCATAGAATGAAAATAAATTGAGCCTCTGAATTCTACTAAAAACTCCCCACTGTCTTCAAAATGAATCCCATGATATCCCCAAAGCACAGCCCCTGTTGGCTCCCCTTCCTCATTCTATCCTGCCCTGCTGGCTGTTCCTGGAACCCATCACCTTCCTACCTCATGGACTCTGCCCTGTTAGACCCACTGCCTAGAGCCCTTCACTCCCAGCTCCTTCCTTACAGCCTCTGTCATCAGCTAATCACATTCTTGTCACTTCATGAACCAGGCCCACGAGGGCAGGGCCGGGCCTGTGTCTACTCCTGTGTTCCCAATATTGTAAACTGCATCCAGCCCTTGATAGCAGCGCAGTCAACACTTGCCAACTGACTAAACGCCCTTATTCCTCCTTCCTTAGAAGAGGCACCATTGCCTCACTGAAAAGAAGAGGAAACTGAGGGTTTAAGGGAAACTCCACCAGACAGAGCCCCTGCTGCAGCTCACCTGGCTCAGGGGCCCCCTCTTGGGGCCTGGCAGGCAATGGGCGGGGGCCTCGGGGGCGAGGGCCAGGCCTGGACAGGGCCACAGGACCCAGGAACTCGACGTAGGTACCAGGGAAGTCACCACGTTGCCGAGTTCGCTCATTGAGGCCAGGCATCCAGCCCACGTTCTGCGGGCATCGCTCGCTGCCCTCAGCCACACCCAGCACCTGTAGTGCTGCCCGGCTCACCACCAGCACGTCCCCAGGCAACAGCTCCAGGTCCTCTGGCCGCTCCCGGCGGAATGGGTACAGTGCACGGTATTGGAAGCCCTCAGCGCCAGCCATGGTGAGCAGGGGGCTTCTGTATGGTCAGGTGGCTGCTTGGGGCCCCAGTGGCCCCATCAGCTGGGGTGGGGGCCAGGTAGGTCCACTGGGTCAGTTTGAGGTGCTCAGACCTCTATTTCCAGCAAAAAGTTACAGGTGACTACAGGGGATGCTCATGCCTTGCTTCCTGTCATTATTCTACAACCCTTACAAGGGTTACTTGTTGTTTGGTCCATCATTCGTCAGCTGGTGGGAGGGGATCGGCAGTGTGTTCTCTGGTCACTCAGTTGCTTCGAACCCCTCAATCTGAAGGGTCAGGCTGGGCCAGGCCATTCACTCACTCACTCATGTGGCAGGCCATGGGCGCCAGCGACTGGTGGCTCTTTTGGCTGCGCCAGACGAGGAGGCTGAGGGCACAGGCTGTCACCATGCTTGGCAGGGGACGCTTACCTAGGGGGAGACAGACAAGGCAGGGGCAAGGCAGTATAGGCCAGCTTGGACTCCTCCCACCCCCAACTCAGAGACAGGCCCAAATCCCGGGTTGGAACCCCCTGACTCACTTGGTAATCTTGGGCTATTTCCTGTCCTTCTCTGGGTCTCAGTTTACTCAGCTGTAAAGTGCGTGCAATAATAGCCCTTCCTTGGGGTAATTGCCCCAGACATGTTGTATGCTGGGTAAACAAGCTCTGTTAGAGATGGGAAAACTGAGGCTCAGGGCAGGGAGGTCTTTGTCCCACCAGGAAGCCACCATTCAAAACCCCAGATCTGCCTCACTTCAAGGCCCAAGGATGGATGAGAGGAGGTAGCAGCCACATGGCCAGAGAGTTAGACTCAGAGTGGGAAGGGCAACAGGGACCGCTAAGGGTGCTGTGGGGGTCCTGAGGAGGGGTCAGGCACAGAAGGAGGCAGCAGGGGCACAAAGCAGTAGGAAAGGAAGTCCCAGCAGAGTACCCCTGCTGCCCCACACAGAGGCCAAAGGATCTCTGATCTCTGTGAGGGAGGGGTGAACAGGAGTCCTGGCTGACTCAGCACAGGGCCCATAGTAGATGCTCAGAACACAAGTGGGTCAGTGGGAGGCTGAGAGGACCTTAGCCCCAGGGTGATGGGTGGATGGCAGGAGGGCATTGCAACTGCCAATGGGGAGGCTGCTGTTTGCAGGGTGATGATCACCCACCAGGAGCCTCCAATCTCAGGGAGACAGAGCTCAGGAAACACATATTCCCAGTCTCAGCTCTGCAGGTTCAGTCCTCCTGAGAGCTTGGGGTTCGGGTGCTTTTCTAGAGGGCAGGTCCTCACTAAAGACAGATAGGGGCACTGGCCACATGCAAAGGCTTGAAAGTGGGAAACTGCTTGGAAAGAGTTCAGGGTGACTCTTAAGAAAGGCACCAACCACGCAGGGCTTCTGCCGGGCAGACAGAGGACTGGAACAACACACCACCGGTCACACCTCCCACCCCCAAGTCCCCGTCACCACCACCACGGAGGGCTTTAGGAGAGCCCTAGGAGGTGTCCGAGCTGGGAGCAGAGGCTCCACATTCCAGGGTGCCCCAACTTACCCGCTCCCTGGCCCTTGTATCCCCATTCCACAGGTGGGGAAGCTGAGATTCAGTAAGGGGACGTCTAGAAAACCGCCTGGATTCGCTTGCCTGCACTCCTTTGCACACGCCTGGTGAGTGCACGGGGGATCCAGAGCTCCCCGAATCCAAGAGGCGGGGTAGCGGAGCCAGACTTGGCCGGGGCTCCGCGGCTAGCCGCAGGGCCTGCGCGCTCACGCGTGTTCAGACGCGCACCCAGGCCCGCGTTGACCCCCGGAAGTGGAGCCGAACCCCGACCCTCGTACCTAACTACGCTCACACAATGCCTGGAGCCCCTCATTTCTCTTTGACGCCCCACTCCCAGCAAGGCCTCCTTCCATTCCCAGCCAAGGCTCCAGCTCTTTTATCTTTGCCTGGAGGCCCCCCGTTCCGCCCCCACCGTGTGGGTTGGCTGCACCGCTGCCAGGTCGAGCTCAAGGCCTTCTGCTTACTGTGGCCCCCGGGGTCCCACGGGCCGACGCTCTGCCTAGGCATCCCGCATTTGCACGCACCCCCAGCCCCGCCTGCCACGCCGGCTGGCCCGGACTTACTGGTCGTGGTTGCTAACGCCGACGCCGTGGAGGCCGTAACGCAGAGCGGAGCCTGACCCGTGGCTCCACCACCGTCGCCGTCAGCGCCACCGCGGGATCCCCGCCTCCGCCGTCGAGGTTCCGAACAGCCGGGCCCACCCCTGGCGGAAATGGCCGAGCATATTCGGGCCGGCGGGAGAAGGGAGGCCAAGGAAGAGCCTGGAGGCGTCCTAGTGCTTCCGGAAAGAGCCGAACATACTCCCGCGGGACTGGGGAGTGGCGGGTGCCCCTGAGATAGTCAATCGTTTCCGGAGACAGCCGAACGCAATCGGGTCATATAAATGCTCCCGAGGTTAGCTTCGGCTGGACTCGGCTGGGTTTAGAGACGCCCGAGCGATTCTGGAAATAGTCGAGCGCAAATAGGTCAGACGAGTGATTCCGAGACTGGGCTCAGCTGGGTTCGCCTGAGCTGAGAAACACCCGAGTGATCCCGGAAATGGCCGAGCATAATCGGACCGGATGAATGATTCCGAGGCTGGGTTCGGAGGGGATCAACTGGGCTCGTTTTACAGACGCCCGAGCAATTCCGGAATTGGCCGAGTAAGCCCCCAGTTGGACTGGCGAAGAGGCTGAGCCCCGAGACTGCAGAGTTTCTGTAAAGAACTGAGCGCGCTGGGTCCCAAACGAGGCCCTAGGAGTTCAGAACCAGAGAGGGCCCACCAGCTTCCAGAAATTGCCGAAGAATGGACGGCTCCAGAGGGCGGGTGATGGGGCCCCGAGTTCAGGAAACAGGAGCCGGCAGCATGGGGGAAGAGGCTCCACAGAGAACCACAGTGGAACCAGGAGGAGCCGGGGGCTGAAGGTAGCTCCGTGGCAGCCCAGAGCGCCGCGCTGGGACGCCGCTGAACGAACTCCCGCCCAGCCTGCGCGAGACCGCGCCCGACTCGGGACCGAAAGACTGTGGAGGGAAATAGCCGAAGACACTTAGGAACGGGGCGTGTCTAAACGTTTCTGACATTGAGAGCTGCAAAAGTAACCCGACGCTCTGGGCTGAGCTGGGTTCTGGTGGAGACCCGGGTAATTTTTTTTTAGTTTTGTTTTTGTTCGTTTTTTATCCTCATCCGAGGACATTTTTCCACCTTTTTGTTCAGGTAGAGTAGGAGGGAGGGAGAGGAAGAGAGAGAGAGAAACATCGATGTGAAAGGGACACATGGAGTGGTTGCCTCCCGCAAGACCCAACCAGGGCTGGGGACAAACTGCAACCGAGGAACGGGTACGTGCCCTTAGCGGGAAGCGTGGACCGCAGGCCCACACTAACCGCCGAGCCAAACTGACCAGGGTGAGACCGGGATAATTTTAGGGCACAGCCCAAGCAAGTATAAAAAGGACACAACAGTGGTTTGTTTATTTAACAGAGCTCAGTGCCCCAGGCAGGTGTCTGAATTAAATTAAACTTTTTTTTCTTTATTGATTTTAGAGAGAGGAAGGGGGGAGAGAGAGAGGCATGGATGAGAGAGAACATCACTGGCCACCTTCTACAAGTCCTCCACTGGGGATCGGCCCGCACAAGCTGGGCTGAATGAAAATTTTAAGGGCAGAGCCCAAGTTGGGTACTCACAGGGAGAGGGCAGCAGGCCAGGATCAGAGAAGCCTTCAGGGAGAATCTGAGTGAACTCCTATGCAGCATTCAAAACCCACTTCAGATGACTCTGAGCCAAGGGTCTGTTTTCACCCCGTCCCCACCCCACTCTTCCCTTACTCTTTTTGGGCCCTTGGTCACAAATCCAGACACTAGACCTCCTCTTTGTCAATGCGGGTTTTATTCACTGTCAGCTCTGTGATGGAAGAAAGAAGCAAGTCAAGCATAGCCTCGGTCTAGCTCCAACACTAGGCAATGCTGGGGGAAGGGCAAGAGGACACAGAGTAGGCTGCAATACTTGGAAAGTGCCAAAAATCATGTGGCTGCACAGCAATCTTGCCAGCCACCTCCAAATGGGAAATGGAGGTGCTGAGATGCCCCATGGGTCGCACAGCATCATGGGCTGGATGGAATCAGCCATATCTGACATCAGACTCTGCATTAAGCTCCCTTGCTGACAAGGCCCACAGCAGGGCCTGGCTGCATGACTCTCACCAGGCAATTGTGGGACAAGCTTCTGCCCCTCATTAGGCCTCAGCTATCTGTCTGTAAATGGGGGTGATGACACCAGTTCCAACCTTCTCAAGGCTGGCTGTGGGACAAGCCACGAGTAAAAGAGCTTGGCACATAGTAGGTGCTTAATAAAGTCATTGGGATTAGTTTTGTAAACACGAGGAAACTCAGGCACAGAGTGGAGCAGCCATTTTCCTAGAGCCAAACAGTGAAGGTAAGATTCAAATTCGGATTTCACTACCCCCCATTTGGATTTTCAGCTTGGATTTCATCCCAGGGAGGCTGTGACACATTGAGGGAACTGTCAGTGGGTGTTTCAGACACATCATATCCTAGTGCTCACCCTGATGAGCATCAAACATATGAAATCTTGTCCAGGATGGACATTCTTCTGCTGGCAGTGCCCTTTGAGGCCTCTTCCTCCTGGGGCATTAGTGTCCCCCAATGGAGTGGATGACCCCTCTGCCTAGATCTGGCGAACTCCTACTCATCAATTAAAGACCCAGTTCCTACATCCCCTAAGCCCAAAGGACTGGAGACAGATGGAGGCTATAATGGTGGGAAGCAGCCTTCAGCATCCAGACCATCATGGGGATGACTCTTGTTTTGTGGTGAAGGGGATTCAATTAACCTCTCCAAGTCACATCCAGATTGGGCCCCCAACAAGTGAGATGGGCTCAGACAAGCATCCTCACTGGGTCTTGGGTCAGGGATGGGATCAAGTAAAACAAAAAACAAAAAAAACTATTAAAAGTACAGAAAAACAAGAAAACACAAACACATGTGACTTGTCCAAAGTGCTTCCTTCAGAGCCCCAGGAGCAGGGTCTGCAAATAGAGTTCCAGATGCAAGGGGCTGGACCCTGGCAGCTCCATCTGCTCCATCTGGCTACCATTTATAAAAAATAATGCATTAGGTACGCTCTCCCTCCAGGGAGCATGCCTGTGCCTTTCCCCCAGATGAGTTACCTTTACCTTCTCTCTCCAAGGACCCTTCTTTTGCCTCTGTAACTTGTTCCCTGAGCCCATTTCTTCCAAGGGCCCTTCTTTTGATTCTGTAACTTTCTAAATAAACTTTCTCTTATACTTTGAAAAAAAGTAATAAATTAGTCACTGGGATTTGCTGCTATTTACAGTGCCACCCTCATCTCCCATTCCTGTTCTTTAGTCCCTGACTAATGGGCACCAAAACATGCAGGTGCTTGACTCCACCTTCCAGCAAGGAGCATGATGGCTTCCTTCCTTCTGTGTGTCACAGGCCGGTGGCTTAGTCTCCATCCATCCAGGTGTCGCTTGACTGGAAAAATCTTGCACAAAAAATGCACAACTTCCAGGCCAGGGGGAGGCCAAGTGGGGAGGGATCAGTCCTTCCCAATGGGTCCCAGGGCTCCGGGCACAGCCTCAGCACCCTCCACTGCAATCTGCAGCATCACAGCAGGTGGCCTGGTGGCCTCCTCCAGTGGCTCATCAAAGCTCACCTCCTGCACAGCCTCCTGCTTCTTGAAAGAGTCTCGGCGCTCAGACAGGTGCAGCCTTCGCATGACCACCAGCTCGGAGTCTGGCCCACGGCTGCGGCGCCCCAACTCCCCATCTGGCCGCTCACTTGCACCCAGCTTGTCTGCTGACTGGCCCCGGCGCAACCTTGGAGACCGGTTGGGCGCTGGCAAGGGTGAGGGCGAGCGGGGTGGGGGTGCAGGCATAGGTGGGCAAGCCAGGGGGGAGGGTGGGATGCTGCTGGTAGACTTGCGGCGGCCAGCCTTGGGGCGGGGTGGCCCAAGCTTGGAGGCCAGGCCATGCAGGGAGCTGGGGCGGGTGTGGCCAGCAGTGGCTGGAGAGGCAGGGCTGCTGGAGCTTGGAGATGCAGTGGGTGGAGACACGGAGTCTGTGGATGACAGGTGAAGGTTATGGCAACAGGCCTCAAGTCTCTAACTTTGAGGTGGGGCCCTCGGACTATATCTGCTGAAGTCCACATTGTTCCATGTGGCCACCTATCATGCCTGCTTTTCCTGCCTCGTTTGCACAAGCTGTTCCCTAGGCTTAGATCTGTGAACTCCTACTCATCCAGCAAAGAACTAGCTCCTTTTGGGGGGGGGGGGGTTAATCCTAACCCAAGGATATTTCCCCACTGATTTTTAGATAGAATGGAAAGGAGGGAGGGATCGGGAGAGAGAGAGAGAGAGAAACACTGATGTGACAGACACATCGATTGACTGCCTCCCGCATGTGTCCCAACCAAGGTCAGGGATTGAACCTGCAACCCAGGTACATGCCCTTGACCGGAAATTGAACCCGTGACTCTTTGCCTGTGGCGATGCTTTAACTGCTGAGCCAAACTGGCCAGGGCTCTTTTTCTTTTTAGAGAGACAGAGAGAGAGAAAGAAAAACATTGATGTGAGAGCAAAACACCAATTGGCTGCCTCCTGCACGCCCTCTACCAGGAATTGAGCCTGCAACCTAGACATGTGCCCTGACCAGGAATCGAGCCTGCAACCTAGACATGTGCCCTGACCAGGAATCGAACCAGCAACCTTTCAGTGCACTGGACAATGCTCAACCAACTAAGCCCCACCAGCCAGGGCCAAAGTCCTAGCTCTAATTCACCTACTTCTCACCTAATGACTCATCACTCGATGGGCCAGAGATACCCATTCAAAGTCCAACTGTACACTAGTCCCTAAAGCAGCGGTTCTCAACCTGTGGGTCACGACCCTTTTGGGGGTCGAACGACCCTTTCAAAGGGGTCACCTAAGACATAACAGTAGCAAAATTACAGTTATGAAGTAGCAACAAAAATAATTTTATGGTTGGGGGTCACCACAACATGAGGAACTGTATTAAAGGGTCGCAGCATTAGGAAGGTTGAGAACCACTCCCTAGAGTTATCCAACAAGGGCCCTGCTTCCTCGCCTGTGCTCACTTCCCCACTCCCAGGCCTCAGCCCCAGAGGACATCTGGTCTGACGAAGGCAGAGATGGCACAGATAATCCTTGGCCCACAAGGCCAGGGGTTCCAAAGTGAGAGAAGTAGTTGGGGTGCCCAGGGGGCAGGGAGAGCTTCTTGGAGGAGTAGATCTGTGGTCCCCCAAGAGGCTTTCCCTGCCTGTCCTCTGGGTTGCCCCTGCCTATCTCTCATAGACGAGGGGCCCTCACCATCCTTTCCTGCACCAAAATGATCTTTCCATGCCCTTTCTGGTTCATATACCCTCAGTGGTTCCCTACTGCCCACCAATTTCAGCCTAGCTCTTAGGCCTGATCCATCCCCCAATACCTCCTCTCCAGCCTTCCTGAGATTTCACGTCCCTCCAGTCTAGACCACTTTACTCACGGTGTTCTCTCTGCTGGGCACACACTTCCCTGTCCCTGTACCCGTCTCTGCCCACCCCCAGGCTGCCTCTTAGACTCTAGGCAACTGGAAAGGACCTCTGGTTATCTGATTCCTGTATCATGTCATTCTATCCTCCCATCTGCCTGCTCCCTCCTCCCCAAGGGGTCCTGGGTGCACCTACCTGCCAGGGCATCAGAAGCGGGACTATGGCAGGGCATGGTGGGGCTGGGGGAGAGACTGTGGGTGGGTGAGCCCGGGAGGCTCTCGCTGGATGACAAGGAGTGGTGGAGGCCGGAGGAGAAGCTGCGGCTGGTGTGCAATACCGATGATTGTTTCGAGATCTTCTTGAAGAGTGACTTCCGCCTGTGGGTAAGAACCTCAGGTGCTCCGGTATCTCTGCCCTCAGCGGGGAGCTTCCAGACTGCTACCCCAGTGCCCCACCCCCAAGCTGATACAGGTTCCGCCATCCACACTCCCTGGCTGCTCACCGGTCCTGGGTCTCACGCCGGCGGCTCCATTTGCTCCTGCGTGCCATGCGGCCCTTGGGCATGTTCCTCCGTGCAGGGCCCACCTTGATGGACGTGTTTTCCAGGGCTGTAGTCCGAAGGGCGATCTTGTTGCTGCTCTGTAGGAGTGATGGTGAGGAGTCTCCTTTGTGTCTCCATCCCATGAGCACCCTCACCTACCCATCTCCTACTTATCCTTCAAAGTCCCAGATCCTATCCAGCCACACCTCACTGGGATGATCTACCACTCACTGGGCCAAAGATGCATGCCCACCATCCGTATGCCCATCCAGGAGCTGTCCACCTATATGCTGGTTCCAGGAGCTACTCGACCTGGGGCCTACCTCCTCCTGTGTCCCCACACCCAGGCCTGAGCCCCTGAGGACATCTGGCCTGACTGAGGCAGAGATGGCACAGACCTCAGAGGATCAGGAAGGGTTTCCTGGAGGAGGGCCTCTGGCCTCTGGGGGTGATGTTAGAGGCCAAAGAAGGGAGCACATTCTAGTCCGAGGGGAGGGAGATCGCAAGGCCTGGACTTGGGAAGAACAGCGTGGGTGGAGGGGAGACCCAGGGAGAATCAGTAGTGGAGGCCAAGGGGTGGTGGGATACTGGGAGCCCTGAGGGAGCACAGCAGGTGGGGGTCTTGGGAGCCTGCGGGCGGGCAGTGGGGGTGGCACCTTCAACAGCAGCTCAACGACGTCCATGTGTACCAGCCCCAGGACCGACTCCCCATTGACGTGGGTGATGAGGTCTCCAGCTCGCAGGCCCGCCTCATGGGCAGGGCTCCCCTCCTCCACGCTCTGGGGGAGATGGCACAGTCAGCAGTCCAACAGCCAGAGACACCAACAAGCTGCTGCCTCTCACGCTGCCTTAGTTTCCCTGACCTTGGGGGCTGTTCAGAGAATGACCAGTGGAGAGGGGACGCGCCGAGTCTTGGACTGGGGGAAGGGAGGACAACCCACCCACTGTGTGCTTGCCGGAACAAGGCATAAGCTTCATGCCCACTCAGGTCTCTGCCCCCTGTCCAGCCCTGTCCCTCTTCCTATAACTGACAGGAATGGCAAAGACCTAGGGGACATCAGCTCCCTGTCCTGGGCCCCTAAACCTCAGACTAGAGAATACACCTTGCCAGGGCACGGCCAGTCACAAACCAGGTCAGGCTGTTCCTATCCACCCCCAGGCCAGCTCACCCAGACGACATGGTGCACAGTGTAGACATCACTGTCGCCCATGTAGACACGGATGGCCCGCAGGCTGAAGCCGTACTTCTTGCCAGAACAGTGGATGACAATGGGGGGCCGCAGGCTGCCACACACAGGGGATGGGTCTCGGCTGGGAGAGGAGTCACGAGATGATGGGTTCGAGGACAGAGAGCGTGGGGACAGAGGGCTCATGAGGGGGCCGCCGCTGCCATCATCTGTAGGAACGAGGGTTAGGGAGTGGGTCACTCCCTCGTGGGCCCCCCTTCCCACTGAGTGCCTTCCCCTCCCACCATGCTGACCATGCCAGCTGCTTCACTGCTGCTCCAATGTTCCAATGCCAGGCTTTGCACATGCAGTACCTTCTGCCAGGAGTGCCCAACCCCCGGGTCTCCCTGTATATAACCCTTCCCTTCTCCTGGGGGTCAGGCCAAACATCACCCTGAGGGACCCTCCAGCTCCCAACACCTCAGCCAAAGCAGACCCACCCCATAGTTACAGTGGATATGGACAGACAAGCAAAGACAAGGCAGGGCCATGGGCGTTACCGGCCGTGATGATAAGTGACAAGGCAGACACGGAGGCTGACTTGGGCATGCAGCCCCCACTGGAGGCCCTGGACTTCTCAGGGGCCGAGTCTTTAGGGCCCCTGAGGCGGTGGCCCTGGCTGGCATCCAGAGCCCGTGGCGTGGAGTGTCGGGCACCAGTGCTGTTACTCCGTAGGCGTGTCTGACTGAGAGCACTGGGGTCGGCTGGGGGTTAGCAGGGTGAGGGGTCAAGGTCTGCCGATGCGGACACAGTGCAGCCTCCTGGCCTTTGCTCAGATAGTGCCCTCTTCCCGTGCACCCTTCCTACACTACTCTCCTTAGAAAACTCCACTCTTCAAGTTCCCTCTTCCAGGAAACCTTTCCCCTACTCATCTGACCCCCTTGCTCCCCCTCTTGGAGCTCCCTAGCCCCATCCCTCTCTCCAGTCTTGTACTGACCCAATGAAGCTGGAGCCCCCTTAGGGGCTAAGCTGAGGCCCAAGACTTCCCCAGAGCCCTGGCCTCTCCTATCTAAATGTTCTCTGCAGAACTGCTCATCCTTCAAAACCCATCTCAAATAGCCCTTCCTCTGGGAAATGTTCTATGACACCACTCCTCCCACCTTGGGTCCACCTACCAGAGAGGCTCGAAGGCTTGGGCATCACTGGGGTGGCTGTTGGGGGCAGATCAGACTCCCCTAGAATGAAGATGGGTCTCTTGGGGCCTACAGGGGCTGGGTAGGCTCCCTCGTCCTCTGATGAGAAGGCAAACTTGGGCATCGTGTCCAGGCTGATGGTGCTCATCAGAGATGGACTGGGTCCCCGCTCAGGCTGGGAAGAGGATGAATAGCAGGAAGAAACGGAGGATGTCCAGGACCTCAGCCTGAGCAAGGAAGAGAGAATCTAAGCCACACTTGCCAGCTGCCCTCTCCCCAGGACACCCCGTCACCCTCAGCAGCCACATCTTAACTCTTAGCTGAGAGTAAGAGGCAATTTGTAAATACAGGATGAGTTCCCTTTGCCTGTTCCATCCTCTGTGGCTACCTAGAGAACTCCTATTCATCTTTTATTTTTTATTTTATTTTTTTTTATCTTCACCCGAGGACATTTTTCCATTTTTTGTACAGATAGAGTGGGAGGGAGAGAGAGGAAGAGAGAGAGAGGGAAACATCGATGTGAAAGGGACACATCGAGTGGCTGCCACCCGCACAACCAACCAGGGCCGGGGACAAACTGCAACCGAGGTTCATGCCCTTAGCAGGAACCGAACCCGGGTCTCTCCAGACCGCAGGCGGACGCTCCAACCGCTGAGCCAAACCGGCCAGGGCCTATTCATCTTTTAAAACCTAGTTTCCAATGTCCATCCTCTAGAAGACACTGATTATTTCTGTTGCATCTGGACTTTGAAGGATGAAAGGGTATCTGAGCAGAGGGAACAGTGCAAACAACAGCCTAGCACAGCAGTGTGATGGTACCGCCAGTGTGATGGCGGCTTAAAGTTTAGTGTGGTTAGGAGTGCAAAGCCAAAGGGAGAAAGGGTAGGGGCTACACTGGCAGAGGTCTGACAGGTTGGCCAATATGTTTGACACTTTTCAACTAGGCCACTAGGAAGCTCTTTTCAGTGTTAGATTTTGTGGTTCTACCTCCCATAAGGCTTAGAGGCTAGATATGCTTATAATGCCCAGTCCACCTACCGGACCTCAGTGCTCAGCTGGCGGCCATCCTCCCCTTCGCCACGTTCCCATCCTTCCTCCCGGTCCTCACTGAAACTTCGTTCAGTGAAGGGGAGGGTGGGCTGCACAGCCAGGAATTCAGAGCTGCTGTAGACCTGGGAAGTAATAAATAACAGTGAGAAAAATGGAGGCAGGAGCCACACCGCTTTCTACATGCCTGATACTTCCCTGTGATTCACTTCATTAAATCCTTACTCAGCATGTCCCTATAGACAGCAGAGTCTTTAGCCCACTGTACATGTGTGAAACGGAGGCTCAGAGGGGCCCAGACACCACGGGGACCACAGCGGAGTTTCTGTTAATGATCAGGACAACCTGCCTGGGGCCCAGGCCCACAAGTAGTGCAGAGGGGTTTTGATCAAATTATAAACAAAGGAAGGAATTTAAGTTAAGCTTGTGAGACTATAAAATGACACCCAGCATAGGAGCTCTAGTCACAATATCCAAAAAGTGGAAACAACCCAAATGTCCACCAGCTGATAAAGTATAAATACAATGTGGTCCATTTACACGATGAAATGTCATTCAGCCGTGAAAAAGAATGAAGCACTGACACACGCTACAACGCAGATGAACCTTGGAAACATCATGCTGAGTGTGAGAGAAGCCAGACACAAAAGCCCACATAGTATGTGATTTCATCTATATGAACCATCTACAAGAGGCAAATCCACAGAGACAGAAAGCAGACTGGTAACTGTCAGGGGATGAAGGAGGGGGTGTAGGGAGTGACTGCTAATGGAGATGGGGTTTCTTTGGGGGTAACAGAAATGTTCTGGAACTAGAGAGAGGTGATGATTGCACAATATTGTAAATGTGCTTAATGTCAGTGAATTGTACACTCTAAAAAAGCTAAAACAGTATATTTTACACTGTATTTTACCACAATAAAAAATACAAGAAAACCAAACATCTTGCAATGTTTCCTGAGCGCTAGCTACATTCAGGGCCCAGGCCCCACCTTGCTGAACCGGTGGGAACAGGACGAGAACTGGGGGATCTCCGTGGACGACTCCTCATCGTTGGTCTCGTCGTCCTCAGAGCCCAGGTGCCGGTACCGTTCTGAGCGCGCTGCAGGAGGGAGAGGCACATGAGGCCCACGTGAAGTGGCTGGGAGGGTCGTGGGGGATGTAGGGAGGGTGGGGCAGAGGGCACCACCATGGCAAAGGCCTCAAGGTGGAGCCAGGCCCTGTGTGTTTAGGGACTACAAGTGGCTTGCGTAGCAAAGTGAATATCTGGGAGTCCATCCTAGATGTTTCTCTAAAAGCTGTGGGACCATTGGTGGGAACTGTTGTGTCTTCACCCTTGAGATAGGTCACCCAGAATTAGGAAAATTGTACACCTCAAATGTAAAGTATGTTCCTTGTTTTATAGAAAAAACAGACACTCAGACAGGACTTCTGACATGTCTAAGATCACACAGCAAGTTCTGGAAGAGGCGCTGGAAACCAAGGGCATTTGCTGTGTTTGGCCAGAGCCCTGAGTGGGGAGAGCCCGCTGAAGTACCTGAGGGGACCCTCCACCAAAACTTAGCAAGTGCCCTTCCTTCCTGTGTGACAGGTTGGGTCCCATGCCGGAAGGCTGAACCTGCTGGCAGACTCCAGGCAACGGTCTACCACACTCAGTGCCTTGGTTTCCCCAGCCACAATTTGAGGGGGTGCTGCACCTCCTGAACCCAGAAGAACAGGAAATCCCTGCCAGGGGGCAGCTGGCAGACCTGCTTCAGCTTCTCGGAAAGCTCAGGAAGTTGGAAGCTCTAGGCCCAGGGCGAAGTGACAAGCAGACACCTGTTTCTGCCCCTGGGACTCCTACTCACTGTCAAAGTAGCTGGTGTCATCCTCAGCTTCTAGCTGTGGCACGAACTCAGCCTTGTGTCGCAGAAGCCCTGTCCAGTCCAGTGTCCAGAAGAAGGGGTGCTGCTTCACCTCGTGGGTGCCACCTGCAGACATACCCAGCTGAGCCCTGTGGGCCCTACCACCACAGCCCTCTGGGCTAGTGGGGACCAAAACTTGGCCAACACAGAACCAGAAAGATGGGAGGGGAGAGCCAGCCACCATTTAAGAGCCCGGAGAGGAATAGAGCTGGGGCTTGAACCCAAGCCCTGTTCTTACCTCTGGTGTATTCTGAGATCCCACCACCCATAGAAACCCCAGAGCCTTAGAAGGGCTTCCTTCCTGGGCCTTTCCCACATGTTTCTTCTCCATGGAACAGAGCTGACTGTGTGAAGGCATCCCGTTCCCAGCCTCGGCCTCACTGTTCTCTTCTGTGGCCAAGCTTCATCATGAACATCACCCACAGTGGCCATATTAATGGGTGGTTGCACAAGTTTCAGTTCCTTAACTATCCACTAAATGACTGGTAAACTGGACAGTGGAATCCACTGGCCTAGGCCATAGACCTTAGGACACAGGCCCTGGTGATCTTGCAGGCTCACATACTCACTCAGCCTCAGTGTCCCATCTGTACTGGACCTGGCTACTTGCTATTCCTTCAAGGTCTTGTGTTAATTCCTGGCAAACTCCTATGCATCATTCAAAACCCCAGCTCCAAGTCACTCTCCTCCACACAGCCTTTCAAGTAGAGTTCTTTTTAAAAAAAATTGCCATATAGCATGCCTGGTCAGTGTGGCTCAGTGGACTGAGCATCGTCCCATGGACTGAGATGTCCCAGTTCCATTCCTGGTCAGGGCACATGCCTGGGTTGCGGGTTCGATCCCCAGCAGGGGCCGTGCAGGAGGCAACTGATCGATGTTTCTCTCTCACATTGGTATTTCTATCTCTCCCTTCCTCTCTCTATAAAAAATCAATGAAAACATTAAAAAAATACATTGTCATATAGTGCAATGGACTCATTTTATTTTTATTTTTGGTAATTCACACCTGAGGATATTTTTCCACTGATTTTTAGATAGAATGGAAGGGAGGAAGAGAGAGAGAGAGAGAGAGAGAGAGAGAGAGAGAGAGAGAGAGAGAGAGAGAAGCACTGATGTGAGAGAGACTCATTGATTGGATGCCTCTTACATGACCCCAACTGGGGCCAGGGATTGAACCTGCAACCTAGATACGTGTCCTTGACTGGGAATTGAACCCACAACCCTTTGGTGTGCAGGCCAACACTCCAACCTCTGAGCCAAACTGGCCAGGGCTCAAGTAGAGTTCTTATTTACCCCAGCCCCCATACATACCAGTACCAAGACGGTCCAGTGGGCTCTGCCGAAGAAGCCTGGTAATAAGGTCCTGGGCGTCAGCCGGAAGAGCCTCCTCCCCTTCTGGCCACATGATCTCATCTAAAATGAGGGAAGGGAGTGAGGGGTTGGGATAGTCCTGCCTAGCATCTCCCCTCACTCACTGCACTCCAAGCCATTAGTTATCTCTGCTCCTTCAACACACCAGGCTCAGTCCCACAACATAGCTTTTCTCTGGCTGTGCCCTCTGCCCACAGCACCTTGCCCTCTTCTACGTCCACAGCTCCCTCTCACACCTTCAGGTCTTTGTTCACAGGTTTTCTCTGAGGCCTCCACAGCTCTCTATAATGCAGCATCCCCAGTACTCTGCCTACTCTCCTTTCTGCTGTTCCTTCTTGGCATTTTGGGCATCTAATAATTTGCTTGGGCTCCATAATTTGCTTATTTATCTCACTTACTGTCCGTCTTGCCTACCAGACAGTGAACACCAGAGGGGCTGTCCATATTGTCCTCAGTTGTGTCCCCAGCGCCCAGCTGGGGCCAGGCATACCACAGGTGCATGGTCCACACATGGGGCTGCTCCCCTCTCTTGCACAGATGGGGAAACTACTGCCCCAAGCCCCAGTGCAGCAGAGACTCAAACCTGTGGCCCCAGGGAGTGGGGAACGCACCACTGACCACCTGGCCAAAGAGTTCCTCAGGGGTATCTCCAAAGAAAGGCACACAGCCCACCAGGAATTCGTAGAGGACGACACCCATGGCCCACCAGTCCACCGGCTTGCCGTAGCCCTGGCGGAAGATCACTTCCGGTGCGATGTACTCGGGTGTCCCACACACCTGGGACAGGCAGAATGGGGAAACTGAGGATGGTCTCCAGCCCAGGAGAAACTCCAGAGGACACCGGGAGGATGGGGTCAGGCTGGGAATAAGGGGTGGGTAGAATTACAGGGGGCAGTTTATTTTCTTTTTTGCTGCCAAGTGTCACCATGTCCCAGGGTCTGGCTCCAGATGGAGGGGGCCCAACACTCAGGGGTGCCTTCCCGCCCACCTGCTTGTCCATGAACTCCCTGGTGTCCTTCTCAATGTGGCCCTCGTAGAGGTTGGTGGCCATGCTCATGAGCCCGATCTTGGACAGGCCAAAGTCAGTCAGCTTGATGTGGCCGAGCGAGGTGATAAGCAGGCTGCGGGTGGGCAGGTGGCATGCTCAGGGCTGGGGGCCCAGGCACCTGGCAGCTCCTGCTGCCCTTGAACTTGGCTCCACCCAGGGTAAGCCAGAGCCCCCCAGGGGACTGAAAAATCCTGCTGGTGCACAGCCACGTTATCACGAGAACCAACAGGTCTCGGGCAAAATTATAAATTTGGCAAACATCTCTGTGCATCTACTAGGTACATTTGGTGTTGCTATTGAGCACCTACTATATACTTCACTGCGCAAAACTAAATTTCCTGAGAATCACAGCATGTCCCAGTTGTGTAAACCATCTCCTAAACACCTGCTGGGAGAATCTACAGTGTATTTTTGTACACATATCCATTATTGTAACAAATTAAAAACTCTGCAAGCACCTATTGTTTACATGTCATGTTGAAAATGAACATATCTTGAGCACCTGGTATACACAGAAATATGTCTGTGCACCTCATGAGTGGAACCATTTTTTAAAACTTGCACATCTAGCCCTGGCCGGGTGGCTCAGTTGGTTGGAGCATCGTCCTGTACACCAAAAGGTTTCAGGTTTGATTTCCAGTCAGGGCACATACCTAGGTTGTGGGTTTGATCCCCAGTCAGGGCGCATATGGGAGGCAACCAATCGATGTTTCTCTCTAAAAACAAAAAGCCAATAAAACATATCCTTGGGTGAGGATTAAAAAACAAAACAAAAAACCTTCACATCTACCATGTATCCTGCTGTTTGTTTTCTTGCTTAAATATATAACTTATTTGCTAAGTGATGGAATCACATGCTCCATCTTTATGAAGTTACATTTTCACACAACTCCTAAATACCTCTGCTGCTTAAAAACAAATTTCTGGAGAACTCACTGTATATATCCAAGTTGTTGGATGAGCCATCTATTTGGCACCTATTGTATACCTCAACTCTGTAAAGAAATAATTCTGTGTACCTATTGTGTGCATTCACTGTTTTTTAAAAATAAAAAACAACCACTGTGTGCAGCAGCTGTAGGAAAAACACTTTGGTGTAGTCATCAGGTGCAGCCATCTGTCCAACATCAAGGCTATGCTAAGACTACTAATGTTTCCTGAGTTCCTACAGGCACAGATTCTAAAAAAAACGTTCATTTCTTGAACACAGACTATATCTGCTATTTTAAAATTTTTCCCTTCTTATAAATGAAATGATACAATGCCTGGGATTTCCTTCAAATCATCCAGCGGAGAGAAAGGAAAGGATTGGCCAAGTGTTGGTAGCTATGGAGTCTGTGTATGGGAGTGGGGCACTATACCCTTCTGTTATGAGCTGAACTGTGTCCCTCCAAAATGCACGTATTGAAATCCTAACCTCCAGTAACTACAAATGTGACCTTACTTGAACATAGAGTCATTGGACATGTGATTACTCAAGAAAAGGTCAAATTGGAGCAGGGTGGCCTGTAATTCAATATAGGTGGTGTCCTTGGACACAGTGGTGTCCTTGGACAATTTGGACACAGGCATGCAGAGAGAGAGGATGCCATGTGAACACTGAAGTGATGCTGCCACAAACCAAGGAACTACCAGAAGCTGAGAAAAAGCCCTGGAACAGATCCCTCCCTGGTGCCTTCAGAGAGGGTTTGGCCCTGCTGACAACTTAATCTTGGATTTCCGGCCTCCAGACTGTGAGAATAAATTTCTGTTGTTTAAGCTGACCAGTCTGTGGTATTTTGTTATGGTATCCCTAAGGAACTAATACACCTCCTCTTGATTTTGAGGTGTTTTTGAAATTTTCCAAAGTGAAAACAAAATAATATTTATCTCAAGTACCTACTGTGTACACTTATCCCTCCCTTCAAGGTTGGGTACCTTCTAATGCCATCTTGCAGATGAGGGTCCTGAGAGGAGCAGGCCCTTCGTTGGGGTCTGACCTGAGACACTCGGAAGACCCCACCTCAGCCCAGGATGATTCTAAAGAGGCCTATTGGGCACAGAGCTTCCTTAGGGCATTGAGAATAGGCCCAGGTATACAGCAGGTGCCAAATACACATTTGCTTTGTTTTCTAATCCTCTTGAAAACTACAAGATGCCCTGAAAACATGCAAGGCTCTTACCACTTATCTTCACACCTCCACATAGCAAGTACCTAAGAAACATGGTTCTTGCCCTGGCCAGTTTGGCTCAGTAGTTAGAGCGACAGCCCACGGACCAAAGAGTCACGGGTTTGATTCTGGTCAAGGGCACGTACCTCAGTTGTGGTTCAGTTCCCAGCCCTGAGGGAGGCAACCAATTGATGTTTCTCTCCCCCGCTCCTCCCACTCCAACTCTATCTGAAGAGAAATGAAAATATATCCTTGGGTAAGGATTAAAAAAAAAAAAAGAAAAGAAACATGGTTCCAGAGGGCACTCAACATATGGGTGGCCCTTTCCTTTGTCCACAGCGGGTGCTCAATTAATGCAGGGGAGAGTGCTTTGACAATTATATAGGGGTTACAAAGCATGAAGGATTATTCATGCTCATGTCTCCTAATTACCCATAGAGAACCTGGCACACAGTAGGTGCTTACTAGATCTAGAATAAAATAAACATACCAAGACTCAATAAACATGGTCTCTTCCTTTCTTTTCTGCACTAAAACATAACAGGTGCTCAAGACATGCACAGTCCCTCTTCACATATAAGGTCTTGCAACGTGCATGTTCCTTTTCCCCATATATAGCTGGTGCCTCATAAGTGCATGTTCTCTCACTTTATGCGGCAATAGCTCTGAGTGCATGATCCCTTCCCATGTACAGTTTATCCATCCCTAGTGCACATTCCCTCGCCTTGCCTGGCACCACCTCCTGACTGCACAGTCCTTTCCCTGAATACAGCAAGTGCCTATTAAGTAACTGTTCTCTGTACACACCAGGTACTCAACATGGGCAAATTCCCTGCCTTCCTGCCAGTAGGGGACCCATGATGCCAACAGAATCCAGATAGGTGGGGCTCCTGAGCAGCCCCAGTTGCCACTGATGCCCATCTCTGTGCCTCTCTGGGTCCCACCCACTGCATGCCTCCAAACCCTGCCCCAACCCTCCCGGACTTCCCCGAGGCCCCTGCTGCTCACTTGTCAGGCTTGAGGTCCCTGTGCACAATGCCGTAGTTGTGCAGGTATTCAAGCGCCAGCACTGTCTCTGCGAAGTACATTCGGGCCATGTCCACAGGCAGTGGACCCATGTTCTTCAGGAGAGTGGCACAGTCCCCGCCTGCAAAGGGCAGATGAGCTCAGAGGTGTAGGCCCTGCCCAATGACTCAGTACCCTACCCACCTGGTGCAAAAGGTCCCCAATGGGTCCTCATTTGGGGCGGGGAACCGGGCAGGGGTTTGGGGATGACAGACCCTGCCTCCTGACTCTTCCCCAATAGGGGAGCAGCTCTGTTAAGTGTACAGTTCCTTCCCTGTACACAGCTAGTGCCTCCAAAGTGCATCCTCTCTCTCCTTGCCTGGTAGCACCTTGGTAAATGCCCGCTCATGCACTTACCAGAAGGCCCTGCTCTATCTCAAACTGCAAACTTGAAGCTGCATCTTCTCACCCTGACCTCTCCCCTGTTCTTCCAGCCTCCAGGCCTCTGTTCACCAGTCTCCCCTATTAAGGATGTACATCTTTCCCCTCACCTCTAGTTCAGCCCTCACACTCTTCTTTGGGGCCCCCAAGCCCCGACCCACCATCCTAGACTGAGGACTTCCAAGGCAGGCTGGGACCCCACAGAGGACAGAGCAGATCCTAATCTGGCCCAAGAAGGGGCTTTCTCTCGGTAGAGGGTAAGCCCTCTGTCGCCGGAGGCACGCAGACCCAGGGACCGCACCTTCCACATACTCCATGACCATGCAGAGGTGGCGCCGGGTCTCAAAGGAGCAGAACATGCTGACCACAAAGGGGTTCTCGGCAAAGGTGAGGATGTCACGCTCCACGAAGACCTGCTGGATCTGGTTACGGAGGATCAGGTTCTGCTTGTTGATCTTCTTGATGGCGAAGCGCTGGCGAGTGTCCCGGTGCCGCACCAGGTAGACGGCCCTGGGAAAAGGGCCGGGCTCGCTGAGGCCTGAGCTCAAGGCCCTGGCAGGCACAGGAAACCAACTGGGCCCCGTACCCAATCTGCAGGGCCTTGGCCTGTGTTGTTCTCCATCTGGGACACCGTTCTCCATACCTGGCCCCTCTCCCAAAGTAGCCACCATGGCTTTAAGCTGCCCTCCTTGATGTCCTATAAATGAACCAGACATGGCCCTGGTGTACTGGCCCTTAGAGTATTTATTTATTCACAGCAGGCTTAGAACCACTAACTCAAATGCTGCACCAAACTCAAACTGATTTAAATAGAGTCCAAATAAGCAGACTTTCAGCCGTTTAGCACCTGCTGGCTTTATATACCTAACGAAACTGTACCCCACAGCTCCCCACCAGACAAACCCTGGGGCTATAAGAAACCCACACATGCTGTTATTGCCCTTTGGGGCTCTCTGGCCCAAAGACTCCCTGTCATGCCACTGGCCCCATCTCCCATCTTGCTCCGATGGTCTCATGCTGTCAGGGACTCCCCACTCCCAGTCCTCTGCAAATCTGTCAAATAATGCTCACTGCATGCTACTGCCACCATGTGGTCATCTTTTTTCCTGACCAGAACACCCTATACCTGGATCATGGATGAATCTGTCCAAGGCTGTGCCTGGCTGTGTTGCATTTGCACATCCCTCTGCAGGCTTCAGTTTCCCTGTCTGTATGCTCAGGGGCCGCTGGGCCTCAGCCATTCCCATAGGCATCTGAGAAATAAGTCTATGGGGGACTTGAGGACTCACCCATAGGCTCCATTGCTAATGAGCTTGATCGTCTCGAAGTCGCTTTCACATGGCTTCCTCCGTGATGGGCCAACCAGGACACGGCTCTGGGGGCCAAGAAAGGCTCAGGGTCCTGACCCCCTGAGGAGTGGGTTTGGCTCCTCCAGTCCCCAAGTCCTGGTGCCTGATGCTACTTTCTCTTCCATCTAAACTTCTCCAATTCAGTGTACAAGTTTCTGAGCTTTTGCTCAAGTGGAGCCCCCCACTCAGAAAACTCCGATACATCCTTCAAAACCTTTCCAGTGCCCCCTCCAGCCCTGCCCAACCTACACAGCACAGGAATCTAAGTTTTCCCCACCCTTCCCCGATAGCCACAGCCTTTTATTAAGTACAAGTCATGTAAAACTTCTGCAAACCCAGCCCCTCCCATGGCTACCTGTCTGCCCTAAAAAGAACAAGACAAGTGTGGGGCCCCAAAGCTCTGTGCCTCACCTCCAGGGATTCAGGTGCTGGGGGCTGTCCTCTGTCATTGAGGTGACTCAGAGGCACCATCTCTGCAAGACAAAAAAGGAGCCTTCAATGGGGCCTCCAAATCTTGCCTTTCACCCAGATTTCCTGAGGCCTCCAGGGCTCATCTGGGGCTGAACAGTTCCCATGATACAGCCGATGAGCCCCTACTGTGTCCAAGTCTTAGCCAAAACCAGGAGTCTGGACTAAACAACTGAGAAACCATCTAGGACTAGCAGGCAGCCCAGGCTCTGACTGCTCAGTTTTTATCAAACCCTGGCTCCAAGCCTTGGGCCAGTGAACACAAGTTGTGACACTGGTTCCTAACAACCTCCTAGCTCAGGGCATGGCCCAGGGGGACCCCCCTTATAGCAAGCCCCAAGGCTTCGCAGAAGTGGTCCATGAGCTGTGTGCTGTGACAGTGGCAATGAAGAATGTCTCACAGTCCCAGAGTTAGGCTAGGAAGGGGTGGTGGAGGCCCGGGTTCAAATGCAGCCCCTTCCACTCTCAGTGGGACCCCAGGGCACTGGGTAGGTGATCTGACCCCAAAGCCTCAGCTGCCACCTGCCTCACCACTTCCTGCACCCTCTGACAGCAGGCCCATCCCTAGTGCTACCTGCATTATTTTTACTGGACAGACAGGACAGCTTTGGCCACAAGGCCGGTCCACCAGTGGTCTAGCCTTGGGCACACCTGCATTTGATCCCCTGCTCAACCTCATTTGCCTGGAGCCTTAGTCTTTCCATCTTTAAATGGGGACAATGACAGACTGGTCCCAGGGCTAACACAGCAATGACTCTAGGTGGACACTGGCCATTGTAGCCAGGCCCTGCCCCCCCCCCCCCCCCCCCCGCCAGCTTTCGTTTCCTCAGCTGTATCCACTCTTTGCTGCTCTTCTGCCAGGCATAGTCCCAATTCAGGACTTTTGTAGTTCCCCCACCTGGCTCCCCCTTTTTCTCCCCCAGATCTGAATCTGGTCACCTCTCTATCCTCAACTTGAACACCACCTCTTCCCAGAGCCTTCCCTGAGCCCCCTGGATCGGGCTGGTCCAAGCTCCATGCACCCCTTGTGCCATATTGTGGCTCCTTATCCTGGCTGTTTGGGGGGTTCCTGCCTGCAGGAGGACTCATCTGACTCTGAGTTCATCTCTAGGGTCACAGTCCGATGAAACTGCGAAAAGGCTTTGTGAATTTGCAGGACGATGTGAATGTCATTGCCAGTAGTGGTGGTCCCCTGGTGCCTTGGCCCATTTCAATTTGGCATTTGAGGACACTGAGGCCCCAATGCCCGGGCAGGTCCTGGGATCAAACATGCAGCCGCCTGTCCCTGGAATCTCAGCACTTTCCCCATAGTGGGTCCCACAGGTGACCAAAGGCAGGAAACAGAGAGACAGGATAATATGACTATACTCCAGCCTCTTCTCAGTCTTTTCCCACCCTGCCCCACTCCAGCTCACCCTCAAGGGGGTCCTTAGCCAGGCCCAGCTGCCCAATGATGTACTGCGGCAGGTCTGTCTTGATGCCCTGGCCCTCTCGAGCCTGGCCCTCAGCAGCCTCCAGCAGGTGGTAGAATTCTTCAGGGTCAAACTCCTGGGGATGCAGAGGACTGGTCAGCCAAGGCTTGGTCTCATCTCTAGGCCTTTGCAAATACTGTGCCCTCTGCTTGGAGCATTGACCAGTGGTTCCAATTTGTCCCTGGGGTCTTAGCTCCTGTCCCATCCTACAGGAAGCCCACCTCAGCCCGGTAGCCTCTCCAAGCCCTACACAATGGGAACTGTGTCTTGTATCTTGGGGACCTGGTCTCCGCTCTGTTAGGTCTCTGCCTCTGGCTGTGTGAGGAGACTCACGAGGCACTCAAGGAGCCTTGCTGGCCGTGAGATGATGATCAGCAGTTTCCGGACCAGCTGGACAACGAAGCCGACCTCCTCACTGTCCGAGCGCTCGTGGGCCTGGAGGCAGGTGGGCAGGATATCACTCAGAGGCACTTGTCTCTGTTCTGCCCCACCCAGGGACCCCCAGTCCCAACCACCCTACACACATCCTGTAGCAGCCTCTCAAGCTTCTCTTGCATCTCCAGGAAGTAGCGGGAGGTGACAAGTGCCTCTCCAGACTTGGCCAGGCAATCGCGGGCCAGTTCAACAATCTGGTGGTGGATGAAGCCCAGGACGCCATCAGCCAGAGCCAGCCGGGCACCAGGAGTGAAGGCAGTGAGGAACTCCCGCAGACGGCCCTCCATCTGGGCTGTGGCCTGGGTGGGGGAGATGGGTGACCTGGTCATTGGATGGAACTGGGGAGCAACACATGCAAACGGGGGCAGGAGAGACAGCAGGCAGAGAGAGAGGTGACAATGAAACCAATGAGGTCGAAGGACTGGGGGAACATTTGAGACTGAGAGGGAAAAATAGAAATGGACAGATGAGGGGACACAGCCAGGACAACAGATAGTGCCTGTTTGTCACAGAGGCACAACAATGTGGAGGGGTATTGGGGCTGGTCAAGCCATATGGCGCTGCCTACCTTCGGAAACCTCTCCCGGTACACGTGATTCATCATGACGATCTCATTGTCAAAGGTTCCTGTTGTGCGTCCAGGGCTGAAGGTGGGGGTGGGGGTGATGATCAGCTTGTCACAGAGGACCTGAGACCCAGCCCAGTGGAAGGGGGCTGAGCCAGGCTTGGGAGGGGTCAGGGCCAAAAGGGGAGGAGGAGCCATGATGAGGTCCAAAAGCCAGCCCCAGGAGTTGCCAGAGCAGGGACCAGAGGTCAAGGCCCACCTGAGGCTGCGGGAGCGGGGTCGAAGGCGGGGTGAGCGGTAGCCACCCTCCTCGTCAGCCACACTCTCTGAGCTGCGGAAATGCTTGGACAGGAAACACAGTTCGTCTGGCGTCGGTTGGAAAGGAAGCTGGTGGAGACGCTCCCGAGAGGATGAGCTCGACTGGCAGGAAGGTGTATCAGAGCCACAGGTTGATGGTCAGCACTACAGTCAAGACCCCAGCACCACCCTCAAGGCCCAGGCTGCCAGCTGGTCTTCAGATGGTAATACTTGCCTGCCTGGCTCCTATGCATCCCTCAGTATCCAAGCCCTGATGCCCCCTTCTCCAGGAAGCCCTCTCTGCCTATTCCTTTGGCAGACTAAAATCCCCTCTGGCCAGGCCCTGACCCCACAGGCTAGGGATATCTGTGTACTCTAGACTGGGAGCTTCTGGGACTAAGGCTTGATCCTCTCAGAGACCTCCACATTGCCCAGAATGCAGCACAGAGGCAGCAGCCAGGAGTTTTCTGGCTGTACAACTATCTGACCCCTTGAAAAAACCAAAGAGATATCCCCCTCCAACCTTGCACCCGCCAGTCTGCCCGCTAAAGTGGGACTGCAGGTACCGAGACAGTGGAACTGGGTGTGTTGGTTCCATAGCCAGAAGACGGGAGGGATGCGAGGGACCATCTTCTGCCATCAGCCCTGGAGAGGAGAACCAGAAGAATCAGAATAAAGGCAGGGCCCCTGTGGTTTGTGGGGACCAAGGGTGAACACTGTGGCTGCCAGATTCTGGCCTTGTTGGAGGCCGAGGACAGCGATTTAGGATGGGCAAGTCCACTATGTGTTTCTTCCTAGTCCTTCAGACACCTCCTCTGGAAGTCCTCCCTGAATCCAGCCGCCAGTGTGCCCCACCCCCATCAAAGCTGCCACCTCTCTTAGTTGCACCTGCTGGGGTACATACTGGCTGCTTCCACCAGACTAGGTACTCCCCAAGCACCAGAGTCCAGCCTCCCTGTAGGCACTCAATAAATGTTGAATGAGCCCTGGCCAGTTTGGCTCAGTGGTTGGAGGGTCAGCCTGTGGACCAGAGAGTCCTGGGTTCAGTTCCCACTAGGGGGACATAGCAAAAAAATAAATAAATAAATGTTGAATGAGTAAGTGACATTTAGATGCCTGACAAACATGCTCTGGCTGGGTAGCTCAGTTTGTTAGAGTGTCGTCTCGATATGCCAAGGTTGTAGGTTTGATCCCCAGTCAGGGGGCACATACAAGAAGCAACCAATGAATGCATAAATAAGTGGGACAACAAATCGATGTTTTTCTCTCTCCCCCTAAAATCAATCAATAAATAAAAAATTAAAATAAAATAAATGCCTGGCACACAACAGGTCCTATATCAACTCTTGTTAAACTCCTGTTAAGTGAATGAATTACTTTCAGTGAATTAATGATTCTTAGACCTGGTGGTACCCCCTCTTCCCTCCTCAGGGCTTGCTGAAATTACCTGTCTGTTCGAGAGATGTGGCTGTAGAAGACCGAGGCAGTGACAGAAACCAGAGGAAAGGACCAACGCAGGGCAGGGGCCAGGGGAGGGGAAAAGGCCAGTGAGGAGGCAGGTCCATTAAGCATACACACCCTGCCTGTCCCCTCACCAGTCATGAAGTCACCATCCCCCAAAGCCAGGGATCACTCACCTCCGGGCAAAGGGGAAGCTGACAGCTGACGCGGCTGAAAAGTTCCGGGGACTATCCAAGGGGCTGTTGCCTGCTGAGCAGGAGGCCAGGGAAACTGAGTCATCAGGGGCAGAGAGAGGACACAGCAACCACCCACTTGCTCCCATGCTCACCGGTTGGGACTGACAGTGGTGACAGGGGCCGGGAAAGGGTTGGTGAGGGTGTTCCTACCACGAGGCTCTTACGGTTCCCACTTCGGCAGCTGTAGAGGTAGGTGGAGACAGGGTTAGGTGTTGGCCCAGGCCTCTGGGATCACAGGACCACCTGCCCTGGCCGGAGCACACATGCAGCTGGCTTGGAGCAGGATAGGAAACTGGGCATGCCCACTTCCACTATGCCCCTAGGTGGACTCCCCCATGGCCCTTACTTAGTCCAGACTTGGAGGCCCAGTGGGAATCATATTTGACAAATATTACTATTATTAACTGCTATCACTGTTATTATCAGTGATGACATGGAGCACTTCTGGCCTCCTGGTGGTCATTGCGCACAGCCTGGAGTACCTGGCCTGCTTTCTCAGGCTTTGTGGTTCATACTCCCACCCCCACACCTTTCCCCTGCCATGGCCACTGCCGGGAGCTCGGGAAATAAGGCAGAGGATGGAGGGGACCCTGGAGCCCACAGGTAGGTTAAGTTAGGCCCCCACCCCATTCCATGCACCCTTTCCCAGGGCCACTGCCCCAATCTCTTGGCAATACTCCTCCCCAAGTTGCCCCCCAAATGCCAGTCTAACCCTTAAAAACCCTAAAGCCAGGATCTTGCTCAGTTGGGCCCTGTCTCCTGTTCTACCAAACTATTGCCCACATATTTCCTTTCTTCCCTCTGTTCCAGCTTCTTCAGGTCACCAGCCCCCTGCTCAGGCGGAGCCCACCTATGCCCTGGCCCCAGTGCCCACCCTGACAGAGGAAAGTTGGGTACAACACTGTCGCCTGTGCCCCCCCCCACACTCCCCCAGAGCAGTTGCCCAGCAACAGCGCTACTTGCTCGGCAAATGCATCAGCCCACACACCCCAGCTGCCAACGCAACTCAGCCACAGCATTGCACAGGGAGGGAGATTAAACCTCCAGCTTCACAGGGCCAGGAATAGTGTCCCAGGCAGAAGGCACAGTACAGGCCAAGGTGTGGGAAAGCATGATCAGTCACCAATCCAGGCAACAAGACAGGTGTGGGTGGTGTTTGGATCCAGCCTGACCACAGCTGTTCCTCTGAACCTTAGTTTCCCCATCTGTATATCTTGCAAGGTGCTGTGAAGATTTGATAAAACCAATACACAGAGCTCAGCTTTGGGCCAATGCTGGGTAAATGGTGGTGGGTACATGTAGTACTGTCGTCTTTCTCCTGACAAGACTTTCGGGGCCTGGTGTGTTGTCAGAGTGCAGGCCATGCCTACCCAGGGAATTAAGTCATCATTTATCAATCCCAACAAACCAGGAGGTGAGAGATCAGATGCACCCATTCCCCAGCCAGGGAAACTGAAGCCACAGATGTCAACAGCAACAAGGATTGTCCTCTAGTCTGAGGTACAGAAGCAATAGTGAAACCCACAGGTTCCTGCAAAACTTCCTGCTCCCCCCCCCCCCACCACGTGCACCAGTCCCACATCCTCTCCCTGCCCCTCAACTGGTTCCTTACCCCTACCTCCACTCCCGTCATTTGTCACTTCCAACAGCATTTGGGAAAAACACTTGGAGGCCTACCTCTTACTCTCAGGTGGGGCCTTCTTGAAAACAGCCTAGTTGGAGGTGTCAAAGGGGAAGTAGGCACCATCTGTTCACTTTCTGAGAATCTACTGAGTGCTATTTGCTCAGCCTTCCCTGGAGGAGGCCCAGGACCCTGAGAAGCAGCCTAGTGGTCAATCACCACCCATGTGATTCAACAGAAAATGAGAATATGGCAGAAAACAGGGGCCTGAAGCCAGTTTCCTGTACCTAGTCCCTGAGGTGCCCATAAGCCCTCTATGGCTCCCCAGCGTCTGGGTGAAGAGCTCCTGGACTTGGCATTCTAGGTTCCATCACCCAGCCTCTGTCTGTGCTCCCCTTTGGGAATGCCCCATCCCAGCATGGATGAGACACTCAAGCAGAGGGAGATACAGGAACTGCCTGAGGTCACACAGCCTGGCACTGGCTGAGCTGGCATTTGAATCCAGGTCCAGTAGAGCCCACAGCCTTCGCGTAAGTCTACTTTTCAGAAAGGGAAACTGAGGCTCCAAGCGATGCCTGGCTTTGCTTCGAGTTAAACCCAGCAACCAGCGCTCCTGATACTCCACATGCATGCTAGACTCACTCAGTAAACATTTGTTTGTGAATCAGCATTTCCAGCTGGGGCCCCAGGGATAGATCTGCGTCAGTTTTGCCAAGAAGCACATCCCCAGGTCGGTCCAGGCCTAGAGCCCTGGGTTCGAATCCCACCTCTGTCTCAACTCACTGATGTCTCAAGACTACCCCAGTTGCACACCCGATGTACAGACAGCCCAGTGAGGGTAAGGAGGGACGGAAGGAGGGTGTCTGGGACGCCAGCGGATGCCTCGATCCTACAGCGTCCTCCTCCGTCCCCCTACCCTCGCGCACAGTGGCCCTCGCCACGCTGCGAAGACACACTCCTGGGAACTCGTGTCTATTCCGCCGGCTGCCGCGCCTTTACCCGCGCTTGCTCCCTACCTCTTGGAGCGCTGCAGCAATGCGCCCTTGGCCAGGCGGCTCCGGTGGCCAGGAGCCGCCACCGCGGTCCAGTAGCTGGGGTCGGACATGCTGCTTTTTCTCTTTGTGCCCGAGGCCGCAGAGGCGCGTGGTCGCAGCCGGCGGCGGCCGGGGGCGAACCTCCGCGATGGGATCGGCTCCAGGAGCCCGGTAGCGCTGGGCGGAGGTGGGGGGGGGGGGACGCCGCGGGGCTGGGGTGGGGTGGGGTGGCGAGGAGGAAGAGCGCGCCCGGGAACCCCGCCCAGCGGGGCCTGTCAGGGGCGGGGTGAGCGAGGCGGAAGCTAAGCCGGCAGCCCCGCGTGTTGCCGAGTGGGTGGGGTGTTGCGAGGGCCGCGGGTAGAGGGGCGGGGCGTTGCCTGGCCGCGCAAGGAAGGTCCGGCCGTTGCCAGGATGAGAGCGGCGGGGGCGAGCGCTGGCGGTACTTGGAGGTTGGGCCTTGGAACATGGGTCCTTTCCCTTAAAATGTAAATCTGATCTCGGCCGCCCTTTCCCTCTCTCCAGCGGCGCTAACTCCTTCTGCTCAGTGCGACACTCAAGGACCATCCAGAGGCCTGGCCGGGCTCATGCTACCACGCCCACTCTGGCTCCACTCCTTCCTGCCTGGCCAAATCCAGCGTCCCCTCCTCCAGGAAGACTTCTCTGGTGTCTGTTGGCCTTGGTCTTCCCCAGGCTTAGGCTCCTTGGGGTTCCAGCATCTCCCAATACTGGACTGGCACAGAGGGAGTGTTTAGCAAATTGAGTCAGGGCATCTGACATGCTCTGCCTGTCTGTATGACAGAAAAGACCATCAGCCTAGCTAGTCAGGAATCAGATGTCTGATTTAACTTTGCAAGCCTAAGTCTTTTCAACTGTAAAGACTGGGAGGAAAACGGGACTAAGAAGATGATTACACAAACTATATGTAAATGCAGCATCAGGCTCACTTCCAGACCTCTGTTTCCCCATCTACACAAATCCCTCGTGAAAATGGAAAGAATCAGAGGCACAGAAAATGACTGTTATTGGGCTGGACTACAGTACATCATGTTCACTATGGAAGGAGAAATGTCTAATACAGTAGGTAATAAATTAATTCTTCCTCCTCTCATGACAGCCACAATAAGTCAGCGACAGCATCACTCTGAGGGCAACCCCTTCACAGGCCACACGACACTTTGGTAACTGGCCCAGGACTGATGCTGGAACCCAGACCACATATCTGAGAAGGGGAGACTGAGGTATAAAGGGAGTACTGCTGCCTAGTGTGTAGCCCTAACCTGCTCATCCCTCTTGCCACCAATGTTGCTTCTCAAGTCTCTCTCAGCCTCCCTATCCTGTCCCTTCATGTCCAGTGTCACCCTCAGGTGGCCTGCTTTGTAGTTCAGACACCTATTGGGTGCTTCCCCAGGAATGCTCTCCAGGTCCACCAGACCCAGCCATTGGAATCAGGAGCTGTCGGGGGCAAGAATAGAGGTGGCAGGAAGCTAGTGAGGGACTGTGACAGGGTCTGGGAGGGGGACACTCAGGCCTGGATCAGGGTAGGGATATGGAGACAAGGGGATGGATTCTGGACTTCTTTTGAGGCCAAAGGACAGGACTTGCTGAGGGGCCAGTTGTAGAAATGAAGATGGGAAAGGTCACCTATGGCCTTCATGTGTCCAGACACCTGGGAAACTCCAGGTATAGGGGGAACTCAAGTTCCCCCAGGTCTGGGGATGCAAGTAGGGATGAAGCCCTGGTCTCATATCACCATATGTTGACATGCTGTGCCCACAAACTCCCCCAATGTGTGCTGGGCACACTTCTGCACACAGTTAGGAAAGCATCTGCCCCTCATCCCAGGTTGTGGCCACACCCTGCACCACCTACGGACCCACATAACACCCACTGTACTGACATCCCCAGTAGTTTTTTCTCCCATGTCCATCTGGCCTCAGTTTCTTCCTCTGCAGAATGGGGGGCTACAGTTGACAATCCAGAGGGCCTGTGACCATGGCAAAGGCCTCCCGTGGAAGACTGGCTGAACCACTGACCTTTGGCATCAGCCCAGTGCCTACCAAGTCATGTCCCTACCCTGCTCACACCCCCTCCATGGTTTCTCACTGCTGTTACAGCAAAACTACATTTCTGGGTAAATCCCTCTCCCAGGGCTCAGATCCTAACCTTGTCTGTGGCCTGGGCTTTGACTCTCTGCTTATACTAGATATTGTGTAAATGGATAAGCCCCTGGTGAGTGTATAGATACCCACCCTAAGCTCTCATTGGTCTGACCACCCCAGCCCTTCCCACCTGCCCATGAGCTGTCCACACCCCTCCAGCTCCATACTCTGTGTGGCTTCCAGCATCCTGGATAGAAAATCCAAATTCTTTTCATCTTTGGCATTCAGGACCCCAGAGGGAACACTCCTCTGACAATGCTGTTCCTGCCTGGAACAGCCTCTGTCACCCCCTTATCTATGAGGGCCCAATTCAGGACCTTCTTTAACTCCTCTTCCCATTACCACCACCACCACCAACACCCTCCTATCTGCTTCCCTTTTGTCCATGCCACAAGCATTAACTGAGCACCTGGTGTATATCTGGCTTGCCCTGAAGGTATAGGATGACCAGGAGAGATCCAGGTCTGGCCCTCAAGGTTGCTCTCAGACCTCTGGGTGAGGAAAAACAACCCCATAGTCACACAGGAAAACATAGAAATCACACCATGATGGGGTCTGAAAGAGAAATAGATGGGTGTAATGGATGTAACCAGGGCTTGGGCACCCTTAAGTAGGGGTGTTCAAGGAATGCTCCCTTTTCTGTGGGCTTGATGGAGTCTTGAAAAAGGAAGAAAGGAGGAAGTGGAGAAAAGAAAGCTCTGGGCAGAAAGGACAGCAAGTACAAAGGCCCTGAGACTGTACTAGCTCACATTCTGACAGTCCAGGAAGCTGCTTGACTAAAGCAGCGTGAGTGATGAGGAAATAAATGGGGAGGAGGCAAGGGGGTAGAAGGGACCAGACCCATGGGGCCTTGGAAACCGAGGGGACAAATGTGGACTTAATTTCTAGGGTACTGGGAGTTGGGTAGGCAAGGACCCATTTCCTTGCCTGGTCCAAGGCGATGGGACTCTGCTGCCCCCTGGTGGCGAGTGAGGCAGCCCAGTGATCTCAGCTAAAGCCCCAAACTCTGCCTCCATTTCCTTCTGGCAAAATTGGCTCAGCTGCTCTCAACAGGTCTCAGAGTCAGTGCTGACCTGACACCGTCTCCTAGGTGCTCCTGGACAACATAATCTGAGGTCCTGAGTTTCCTCTTTTGTTAAATGAGGGCTACAGAGGTCCCTGCCTCCCACTGGACACCCGGACTGGTGCAGACCCACCATCACCTACCCAGGTGTTGACCTAGCCACCTCCCTGCCTCTGCCACCTCCATTCCTGTTCTCTGTCCCAGAAGACCTTTCTTCCCCTTAAAGGCAGCCACAGAGGCTTTAAAAATCTCAGTTCTGCCCCAGGACCTTTGCACATGCAATTCCCTCTGCCTGGTACATCTTCCCCTAGTTCTGCCCACAACTCAGCTCAAACATAACCTCCCCCAAGAGGTCCCTGTCTGAACGTTTGTCCATTCATTTGTTCATTGCCCACTCCTAAGAGCCCTGTGAGTGGGGTATTATGTTCATTTTGTTCACAACTATAACCTTAGCACCTGGCACACAGTTGGTGCCTAATAAATGCTTGTTGACTGAATGAAGGTATCTGCCTATTGCTCAGTACCCAGTATATTTTCCAAATTGTTCTACCTTCTCCCTATTAAAGGCCTGTGGGAAGAGCCTGAGTAGCTCACTCACACTAAGGTGCAAAGGACTGATGGGCCATCAAATTCTAGACACCACTGACCCTCACTCTGTCTCTTCCTTGAACTTGTGCCTGAGCTGTGCTAGGAGCCCATGATAACCCTGGTATTCCATCCTGTACAGGGGCAAGACCCTGAGCCCCATCAGTCACAGAGGGTGGCTCAAACCCTGACAGACTCTGGCAGCCAAGCTGCCCTGCCACTTGGCCCCCAGACATACTGAACCAGGAGGACTGGTGTCTCCTCTCTGAGCCTCAGTTTCCTCAGTTGGGAAATGGGGACAGGAAGGGTGTCTCCCTTCCAGGGTTGTCGAGGGAACTTAAGGTTGATATTCAGTCAAGCTGGTTCTTTTCTGCCTACACCTCATTATCTAGTTAAGTACAGTGCATTGGGGCTCTAATGGTGAACTCTCAGCCGTGTGTGTGTGTGTGTGTGTGTGTGTGTGTGTGTACATTCAGAGGGAGGAGCTTTCTGGCCAGCTTAACTGGGTGTGGGGAGGATCCTTGAGGTCACAGCCTGGTAGCCAGGATGATTCAGCAGGGAGGTCCTGAAGGCTGGGAACCCAGCACCTGTCTCAGGACCTTGGGCAACAGCTTCAGTTCTGGCCTCACCTTGGCCACCTGTTGGACAGGGGACCTGCTGATTGTGGCTGAAAATGGAATTTCCCCATCAGGACCCTAGTGTGTTCACAGTGCCTCTTTTTTTTTTTTTTTTTAAATCCTCACCTGAGGATATTTTTCCATTTATCTTCAGATAGAGTGGAAGGTGTGTGTATGTGGGGAGAGAGACACACACACATACACATCGACTGGTTGCCTCCCACAGGGCTCGACCAGGGCTGGAATGAACCGCAACCCAGGTATGTGCCCTTGATGGGAATCGAACCCATGATTCTTTGGTCCGCAGGCCCACACTCTAACCGCTGAGCTAAACCGGCCAGGGCCACAGTGCCATTTTAAGTAGAGGTATATTGAGGTCCAGAGAGGTGAGGTCAGCAGCCCACAGTACCTTGGGGAGGGAGCTGGGTCTGGGAAGTTTCCAAGGCTTTGGGGTACCAGGGTATGTCTGAGCCCTGCCCTGCTTGCTGTCACTTACCTCCATGGGTGCAGTCCCAGGGAGGGGCTGCAAGGGCTGCAGGGGCTGCTGGGGCTCAGCAAGGATGGGCTCTGGCTACTCGGAGATAGACTGCAAAGAAAGAGGCCGGGGACGGTGAACTTGGCAGCAGCCCCTGTGTGTGGCGGAATCC